TCTGTGAAGAAGGAGTTTTGTGTTTTTTAATTGTATTTATGGTGTTTCTTTGTTCCTGAGGTATTTGTGAGGTTGCTTGGGTTTTTGGTGGAGATATTGCAGTATTTTGTGAGCCTGTGGTGCTGTTAAGGTTTTTGCGTTTCGGTTGTATACGAGTGGGTTGTTTCTGAGAAGAAGGAGTATTGTGTTTTTTAACTGTGCTAGGGCGTGTAACTTTATTGGATGGACCTGTCTTTGTAGTACATGTTGCGTTACTTGTGTTTATGATGTTTCTTTGTTCTTGAGGTTGTATTTGTGAAGTTGCTTGGGTTTTTGGTGGAGATATTTTAGTATGTTGTGAGCCTGTAGTTCTGTATAGGTTTTTGCGTTTGGGTTGAATACGAGTGGGTTGTGATAACGTGGTGTGATTCGGTGAAGAAGGAGTTATGTGTTTTTTAACTGTGCTAGGGCGTGTAACTTTATTATTTATTTATTATTATTATTATTATTATTATTGTCGGTGTTTCTTGTGAGAACTCAGGTCTAGCCTGGTTAACTAATCGCACGGATTAAAATCAAGTAACGATTAGTGTCTGTGTCTAGTGAAGTTATGTAGGGTTCTAAAGAAAAATAAAAAATAAAATAAATATTCACACACTCACATTGGAAATCTAGAGATAGTATGTAATTCATACTTACCAACATAGCTATTAATGGCCCCAATAGTCAACGCTATCAGGAAAGAAGAAAACAAAACAAAAATATCATTATAATAATTCCTGTAATTTTATTAAATAGACTTTATTGTGTAAGTGTTTCTTTGGCTTTGCGTTTGGGTTGAATACGAGTGGGTTGTGATAACGTGGTGTGTTTATGTGAAGAAGGAGTTTTGTGTTTTTTAATTGTATTTATGGTGTTTCTTTGTTCCTGAGGTCGTATTTGTGAGGTTGTTTGGGTTTTTGGTGGAGATATTGCAGTATTTTGTGAGCCTGTGGTGCTGTTAAGGTTTTTGCGCTTCGGTTGAATACGAGTGGGTTGTGATAACGTGGTGTGTTTCTGTGAAGAAGGAGTTATGTGTTTTTTAAGTGTGCTAGGACGTGTAACTTTATTGGGTAGACTTATTATTATTATTATTATTATTATTATTATTATTATTATCTAATGGCAATGCGGTGACCACTGCGAGTAAATTGAATTTTTGCTCTTAGAGTAACCATGATTCTTAAACTCATTTTATTCTTAAAAAAATGCTTTTTTAAATTTACGTTTACCTCGACGCCTATTGTAATATATTAGGTACCTACCTCCTTGCTAATATATTATGTAAAGGGTATGTTACAAACGATCACAACGAATGTTTCTAACTTTATTTTACGTTAATAAGCGAATGGAATGCGTTGAGTCACCATGAATGACATTATTGACATTATACTTTTGTAACTTCAAGATTCAAGAATCAAGTATGTGAGTGTGTGAGTGAGAAATGGCACAGTTTACCACATTATTAAGTATATATTTTAAGATATTCCATTAACAAATAGATATTGGTACTTGTAAAAGCATTGACAAGCATTTATCTTTATCTTTCTAAGGCCCCAACCTCCCAGTTTATTTACTTATCTGTATTTTTAACCAAATACGTGTGATCGGTCCTGCATATGCAATACAAAACAACGTGCAAAGACAAGGATGAGAATAACTACGTTATGCTGGTTGCCTAAAATCATTGCGGCACGCGATTTTGGCGCTCGATGCCGTTCCAGTTACAGAGTATATAGTTCAATGGTGGGTAGTTACAAAACTATGTTACCAACCAAACATATTATTGTGTTACCAACTCATGATTAAAAAAAAACTAATGTACAAAACTTTATTAATTTTGACCTTTTTTACGCAATTCGTTACAAAAAATATTGTACCTAACTCTTTCGGAAAGAATTTTCCCGCATTCGCACTAAATGCAGCACTCCCTACGGTCGTGCTGCAAACAAAGTGCTCATGCGGAAAAATTAACTTACCGAACTTGTTAGGTAAATAACTATTAAAGCACTTGCAACGTTTAAATGCACTCTGCCGCGCGTCGTGCCCTTCAACTCGTTGCGCGTGCTTTAAATACTTGATTATACACTTGTTTCTTAATATACTATTATCGTATGGGATACTTACCGATGACAGAATATTAAGCTCTATCACTATGGGTTACATTAATTTAATCCGGATAAATTAACACACTGATGTCCGTTACTATTGAGTTCTTCAATTTATTAAATATGCAATCGAGATTCATCTCAAATTTGACACCCTTTTTTTGTGAGGTTTGTAAGAGGTTCAACCATAATTGCAAAATTTTAATAAATCGGCGATAGAAATTCTCGAAATTTTGGCGTTAAGGTGGCTATGGGAAACTCTTGAAGTTTTTTCGTTTAGAAAGATATGGGAAACTCTTGAAGTACCTTGTCTGGATCAACCTTAACTCATTCGCCGGATATTGTTTTTATTTCCTGAGTATTTAACCTCAGGTTTGAAAAATTAGAATTTAGATGGCTTTCGTTTTAAATTTGCCGCTCGCAATATGTCGAGAACTGCTTTGATTTTCGCGAGATGGTCTTCGATTCATCCGCGGGTGGGTATTATAACATCGTCCAAGTAGACCATGCATATTTCTGATGGTAGGTAGGATAAGGTAACGTTCATCTGGAGGGGCGTTACAAGTCCAAATGGCATTTTTTTATTGATAACGGTGATCCAGCGCTGTAAAAGCTGCTTTTTCAATTGAATCTGGTGTTAAAATCGTTTGTCGTTTGTAACGTCCAAGGCTGTAAACAATTTGAATATCCTAAATGATCCAATGGTTCCGTCATTCGTGGTATCAGGAAGATTTCTTTCTTTGTAATCTTGTTCAACTTCCTGTAGGTAATACACAATCGCTGCTTGCGGTTCTATCTGGGTGATAATTTGTTACCATTACTGTGTGAGCGTTCCATTCGGATGTGCTTTTCTCAATAATTTTTTGCTTTAGAGTAGTCGGTTATCTTCTGTCTATAATTCCATCCTTTGGCTGTACCGAATTTGGTCCTGGTTTTTCGCTACTGGGCATGAGTTTACGGTGTTGATATCGGTATGGGGTTGTATATTATTCGAGTTATTGAGTCAAGTATTAATTGCAGTTCTCAGTATACGATTAGCAGCAGTGTCAGACGTTAAATTGCTATACGCAATATTTTGTGCAGCGCGATCATTAACCCTCTTTGTTGTGCTTTGCTTGTTTACAGTTTTGCAGTATACGCGCCCTTTTTGAGCTCAACAAGGCCGTTGCGACCTGTAGTTCAAAAGGTAAATATTGATATTTTCGTCAATTTTCCCTACCTCAACGTTTGATTACATACTTGGCCTAATAAGAGTATGGTCTGCTATTGCGCATAGTGCATTAGTCGGCTGGCGTTGATGTGACGTCACGCGGTTGTGAAACGAACTGGTGCCGGCAAGACTCCCATAAGAATAAGTAAGAAAGCCTAACAATTACGGTGAAAAGTTTTCATTCATAAAGTGCTTACACATAATTAGAGCTTATCTGAATATATCTACGTAACAAACTGTGTTGTATTTCAAAAACAAAGTAGAAAATCATTAGGTTTAAATGTAAAATATGTACAAAACATCAATTCAGACTGTTTAAAACAGGAGGTGTTTCATTGGTTACTAATTGTTCGTCTTTCTGTAGAAGTCCTGCAGTTTCTCATTTTTTTTATTTCGTTTTCGAATTCTTATATACCTACGTACTTACTCCAAAGTTCAAAGAGTATCGTTCTATTATATGCTCTTTGCTTTAACTAAGTGGTCGAAAGCGTCGTTAGATACTGCGTACTCAACGTCAGCATATCATCTTAGGAGCTACCTACTGCCTAAAAATTATGAATACCGGTACATGGTTATCTTGCATTCCCTATCTTGAATTATTACCACTAGAATTCAGAGATGGTGTTGCCATTCGTTATGGTAGAACCCCTGTTTTATATTCCTGCAGTATGTGATAACCCTGGAGCTGACATACCTATTTTTTCGTTCTGAATTAATTTATCATTCATTCTTATACTAATTTTTATTCATGTATGATGTATTCACGTATATTCCATTATTTATAGACATTATCCCATATTTTAATATATACAGGGTTGTTATTAAATTCAAAATAAATAATTTAGATGTAAAAAAAACGTATAAATGAAGTAGTAGCATTTCGCGCGACGCCCCTTGGGATTAAGATTAATCTTAGTCCTGTAGTTTTGTACTCCAGTAATTAGCAATTTCATACTGACTTGATTGAAGATTAAGTACTCTCATTAAAACTAACGCAATTTTCATTACATATCTTGACAGAAATCCTGGATTACAATGGCGTAGATCTTATATAGTTCTAAGAGCTTCAATAACGATATCTAAAGCAATGTTTACACCAGGGCTTGGAGATTTAGGCTTGACAAAGGTTATATAGTCAGTACAGATTATATCTAAAGATACCTGTCTCTTAATACCACTCGTAAAAAGTAACTCCATCAGTAAAAATCCCAACACGATTTTTCCATAGCAAATTCGTTATAATCCTGAATAATTCAGTGGTTATAATTCAAAATGGAAAATTGTATTAAATTGGCACTGCACTCCTATCCTATGAATGCGATTAGTCTCTTATACTAATTATCTTTGAATATACCCAATATACCTACCCAATATCGAATAGCGTTATGGATTTTTTATGGTCTCCCAACGTTTTGAGTAAGTAAAGTTTGCTTTGTACTGAGCTCGCTAATTGTATCTAGTCTATTCTATTAATATGTATTAGATTATTTATCTGCTGTTATCTGAGACGGTTATTATCTATCATAAAATCAAATCCTTTACCCTTCGAAGGTTACGGTTGCCCAAAATTTTAACGTAAATTAGTAATTAAGCCACATACGTAAATCTAGAAGAATTATCAGTAGGAGACATGCAATAAAAATAAGACGAAAGCCTTAGTAACACCGCAACGAATGCGGACAAGTATATAAAGGTATCAGTATGTTTCAACAGTCTTAAGTTGTTTGGGCTGGGAAGGCCTAAAGACGACAGTATGTTTCTTATAGGGATGGTTTCCTTTTTTTGTTTATTAAACGGTATAGAACCCACAAAAGATGGTAAGTTATTTGACAAATTATCACATCCAACTAATTAATTAATTCAAGACAATTGGGAAACCGCAATTCGCGAGGACCTATTTCAATTAATACAAACAAGAAAAACGTCTCAAACACTGCGCGAGACAATGGAAAAATTGGAGTTCCGACCAACGTACCGCAAACGCAACCTACAAGAGCGCCTATTGGAGCCGCTTGAGTGTACATTTTGCAAAACTGCTATAGGTGTAGTTATAACGACACGGAAGATAGGAACTTCGAAAGATCGACTGGTTTCTATGTTTACCAACCTCTGCATCTTGTCGAAAATGGCTTCCGAAGAAGAATGCAAAGGACTCATAAATCTAAACATCGACACTATACTATACGTTATAGACAACCAGCCATCTTTAAGACCTAGCAAGATATGTTCGATTTTATTTCAAGATCTACACTGTCAGGACCTCTTTGGACGGGAATGGGACCTTGGCCTTCCGCCTTACGAACCTCAGGCTCAGAATAACATCCCTGATGTAAGGCCCACGATTTTAACATAAAAAAGTTCCAAACGTTAAATTTTAGGACATACAGAGTGGCTCGGTGAAAGTACTTCATATCACTGATCTACACTACGACTCTCGATATGAAGTGGGATCGAATGCCGATTGCGGTTTATGCGTTTGTTGTCAAAAAGGTACCGTGCCCAGCTCAGAATCGACTGCAGCCGGCTATTGGGGAGATTATCGCGATTGCGATGTTCCATGGCACTCATTCCTCGATCTACTCACACATGTTAAAGAAGAACACGTACGTCCACCTACACGGGAGATCAAAGGAATTATAAATTAATTTCAGAAAGACATCTCGTATGTGTACTTCACTGGCGACATCATTGCACATAAGGTGTACGACACAAGCCAAACCGGATGTATTACCGACATCACCAAGGTGTATACTGAGTTGAAGAATAGCTTTGGAGATGTACCAGTATACCCCACTTTGGGAAATCACGAACCACACCCTGTAAACCTGTAAAATCTGGGTACTTACAATGAACTTATGTCTAAAATTGTGAATTTCAGTTTTGCACCAGAAAAGGTCGACGCGAATTTGCAGACACTCTGGTTATTTAGATTAGTCGCGGAGCTTTGGCAAGCATGGTTACCAGCAGACACTAAAAATACAATATTGAGGGGTGGATATTATACGGTCTTGGTGAAACCTGGTTTTCGGATTATTGCACTAAACAGTAACGTTTGCGCAACCTATAACTTATGGCTGTTCCATGACGATTATGATCCATATGGACAATTGAAATGGTTAATCGATACTCTACTCCATGCGGAAACTCAGAAGGAAAAGGTTCACATCCTTTCACACGTACCTTCCGGAGATTCCACTTGTGAAAGGAATTGGGGTAGGCAGTACGCTAAGATAGTAAATAGGTACTACCAGAGAATATATTCCTATTGCTTCATTCGTTAACATTGCAGATTTTCCCACGTTATTTCTGCACAATTTACTGGGCACACCCATTTAGATGACACGGTAATATACTATAGCCATGAAAATCGAAGTCAGGCCAATAATGTGGCCTTTAACGGGGGGAGCTTTACGACGTATTCCTATTTAAATCCGAATTACAAGGTGTACGATGTGAACAATCGAGGAATGGTACTAAATAGTTGATATTATTAGATCAAATCATCACAACTTACTTTTAGGAGGTCGCCAATTTTGAATCATGGATGTACAACATGACCGATGCAAACCAAAATGCATCCCTTAAACCAAAATGGTACAAGCTGTATGATTTTAAAAGCGCATACAATGTATCGAGCTTGCACCCACAGGAACTGTCAAATTTAGTGGAACGTATGACCAAAGACAAGAAGTTGACTCAGTTATACTTCAGGTACTTGATCCTAATTGTTCTTGCAATATTGTTTAACCCCTGATCGCGCTTAGGTATAAACACAGAGATGCAGATCCTATGATATCGGAAGGGTGTGATTCGCCTTGTGAGGTGGCCAATATTTGTACAATGGTTACGGCAACCTATGGAAATGACTACCACTGCAAGATGTATACAGGGCTCTATTGGAAAAATCGCTATTTAGGTTGATTTTTTTGTACCTAATCAATCAACATTTGTACTTGTATATTTAACTATTTAACAGGAGATACTATAAACATAAAACGAACCCAATTAATTGTAGGTAAATTAAACCATGTTACTTGATTATTGTTTGTATTTAAGCAATTCCGTGTTTATACTTCAAAACTGCTAAAGTTGTAGGCTAATCACGGGTGGAGGGGGCTGCACATCCCAATTGTTAATTAATGTTATGATACCTGCAAACAAAATTGAACAATGGCCAATGTGTTGCAACCGTTCAATTGAAATAGGGCAGCATCCTTCTGACCTGAAATTTCAGGGATTGCACAACAATTGACTCGTGCTTTTCTGGACAGTAACTCGCAATAGTCATTCGCCCTGATTTCATCAGCAACCGAACCTGTACAGTAGCAAGCCACTCACGGTGGAATTCTTAGCGGTTTGCTCAGCATTATGTAAAAGTCCAATGTGCCAGTTTCCATTGTGCCATGGAAGTTCGAACCAAGTTTTGTAAAATATTCCAAATATCACCGCAACAATTTAAAAAGTGAAGGAGAACGTTGTTGCCGTGAAAAATAAGCCAATAACCGGGAGTTCGGGACTATCAATAATAGGAGCAATGTAGGAGAAATGTCAACTTGAAAACGAAACGATTGACGCTATGTAGCTGTCTAGTTGGACTTCCATTCAAAAGTTGTTGCAAAAACCCAAATGCACAATGGAAAACTATTTAAAGGGTAATTTCTAGTAACCATGGCCCTCCTCCTCTACCTCTTATCGTGATCGGCTATATTCCCTTATACCTACCTCAAGAACGGGTTGTCGGAAGAGAGTATTCACAAAGGGCGATTGAGACGTCTGCAAGAAATATATCCATTGGTGATATCAAAACCAAAGCTATTTCGGTTTAAAAATGCGCTTTATCTGCACAAGGGTTGTGCACAATTTATACTTGTTTATACATGAGTTGAACTGTCATCTTAAATCAAGGTGTAGTTCGAAATATATAAAAAACGGAAATTACATCTGCAAACTATATATAACTATATAAACTATATTTAGACAGAGAGATAACGACAAATTTTATGCGATGATTTTTAAACGGCCACGATCTTGACCTTTTTGGTCAAGATTGGATATGATGAGCGCCTAAAAAGTCTCCAAGATGCACCAAAACGGTTCGTATTGACTTTTTAAGTTTTTTATATTATTCGAAGGATTTCGGATACGATAAAGAATCCATATGGAACATTTTGTCGTGATCGATCCATCCGTTCTCTTGTAAATCGATGGACACGAAGCCATCTAGCGATCGGACGATTGTGAGAGAGCGAGGGAGAGAGCTTAACAACTTGACCCTAAAAGTGGTAATACTGGAAGTAATTGGTGAACAGTTGAGTATTAGTTAAGCTCTAATTTAGTAATCCTTATCAAAATTTAATGCTTTATCTTTAGAATATAGCGAGTTCAGTTTGATACATATAGCGGGTGTAATAATTGCGTCATCAATAAATTAGGTAGTAGAGGATATCAAAACAAACATATATTCCTTCCAGACTGACGCAGTCTTAAACGGGGTGTGAAAAAAGTTCTGACCTCCACGAAAATCTGGACATCTTTGAACACAAAAATAAAAGTCAAGTTTGAAAAATTAAAAATAAACGGTATAGTCCAAGAGCCCAGTAGGAAAGTATACCTTGAACGCCCGGACGATTCTAATAATTTTCATTGGATTCGCCATAAAAAGTTGTATTAGAATCGACAACGGTGCCGGCGAAAATCCTGCCGAAAGCAATTAAAAAAAAATTAAATTCGCCCCTTATTTTTGGAAAATGTACTTTATTGTCCCGGACGTTCAGGAAGAGTACTAAAGGGTGCATATGGATGAGTTTTATCGGAAAAAGTCACGGTGCCGGGGTGCAACTTGCCGCAACCCTTGGCACCGCGACTACAAATGGGGTGGTAAATCGTACTAAACTACCTTTTTCTCCCGGACCAAAATGACCTATATGAAATATGTAGCTTGCGATTATACGAATATAAAAAACCAACGGTGCCGACTCTCAGGATGCCGGAAGTCCTCGGCACCGTCGATGGAATCAGGGCGCGCGCGAGCCTATTGACATTGCGAAAATTGAAAAATTGCAAGAATTCACGTCACTTAAGTATGTATTCGGTGAAAAAATGTAACAGCGTGGATACCGCGAGATCAAATATATTCCACAAAATTTTCTCGACGAGAAAAGATTCTGAGAAACTCGTCAAGAAAATCAGAGGATTTGATTCGTGTACGATTCCGCCTTGTAGTACAGGCAAATTGTCCAAAATAGACAAGAAAATTGCAAAGTGGTTGAAACTTGATTTAAGACGTTTGAAAATATGTATATTTCAAGGAACCGAGGAGTCCCTACCACAAGAAGTGTGCCGGAGTGGTCATGCTCAACTTAGGGTGAGTTCACGGTTTTAACAGGAAGTGGCAGTAAAATACTATTAAAAAATACGTTGAGGTATATTTTAATAATTAATAATTAATCAGCTGTACCGGGTGACCCAATAAGATCGTTCCTCGGCCATATCTCGGGAACCGTTCGTCGTATGACTTAGGGGTAAAATAATTTTGGGTAAATCGGTTATGAAGAATCGCTGGAAAAAAAATTCAGTTCTCAAAATGACCACCAGAGGGCGTAACTGCCATCTTAAATTTTAAAATTGTATTTTCTTTCAATTTCGCGAAATAATCTAAACATTCTTTTTTTACATTTTTAAAGAGAACCAGTTCATCTATCATTTTCGTAAAAACAATAACTTTCAAAAACAAAGATGGTGTGCGGCGTTCAATTGTTTTTGCAAAATAACCTGCTTTAATTTCTTAACGGTTTGGCCGATTTTAACCAATTTGATATCGTTGAAAAGAGCATTCCTTGGGCAATAAGAATCAACCAAAATATAGTTAATTTAGTTGAATCCTTCTCCGCCAGGAGGCTAATTTTGACACTATGATCCAAAATCCTAAAAAAATCAAATGGAATGATATGACTTTTTCTTTATGAAAGAGTAGCTAAATAACATCCAAAGAGAACAGTGAAAACCGTTTTTCAAAATCTCGTTCCTAACCTCAAATATTGGGAAAATGAGATTAATTAATTAATTAATTAAAATGCTTAAATTGAATCTTAAATTTACTTTTGACGTATTTCCGGTATTTGTCGATGGCGCGAAAGATTGTTTGGAAAAGCACCCTACACTCTTAGGTAGGCCTTGGAAAATTAAACAAATGAAACACGATGCGTTATCAAATAATAATAACCGCCGTAATTTGAAAATTATTCTGCTCTGTTTACATTCAGAAAGTGCAGTTTTAATTTGTAATCTTTTTTAAAATGCCGATTTCAAACCAAGAAGCAGTTTTTGAGCATGACCACTCCGGCACACCTCTTGTGGTTAGGGACTCCTCGGTTCCTTGAAATATACATATTTTCAAACGTCTTAAACCAAGTTTCAACCACTTCGCAATTTTCTTGTCTATTTTGGACAATTTGCCTGTACTACAAGGCGGAATGGTACACGAATCAAATCCTCTGATTTTCTTGACGAGTTTCTCAGAATCTTTTCTCGTCGAGAAAATTTTGTGGAATATATTTGATCTCGCGGTATCCACGCTGTTACATTTTTTCACCGAATACGTACTTAAGTGACGTGAGTTCTTGCAATTTTTCAATTTTCGCAATGTCAATAGGCTCGCGCGCGCCCGGATTCCATCGACGGTGCCGAGGACTTCCGGCATCCTGAGAGTCGGCACCGTTGGTTTTTTATATTCGTATAATCGCAAGCTACATATTTCATATAGGTCATTTTGGTCCGGGAGAAAAAGGTAGTTTAGTACGATTTACCACCCCATTTGTAGTCGCGGTGCCAAGGGTTGCGGCAGGTTGCGCCCCGGCACCGTGACTTTTTCCGATAAAACTCATCCATATGCACCCTTTAGTACTCTTCCTGAACGTCCGGGACAATAAAGTACATTTTCCAAAAATAAGGGGCGAATTTAATTTTTTTTTAATTGCTTTCGGCAGGATTTTCGCCGGCACCGTTGTCGATTCTAATACAACTTTTTATGGCGAATCCAATGAAAATTATTAGAATCGTCCGGGCGTTCAAGGTATACTTTCCTACTGGGCTCTTGGACTAGTACGGCAGGATAACCAAAAAATCCTTAACATCTACTATTATAACAACGCATATAGCAATAATATCATAAGAAGAATGCTGTATTTTAATATTCAATAAAATGGCGTGCTTATTAAAAAAGCCCGTAGGCATATTTTCTATTTGCCTGTCTACTTTTAGGCGAAAGCAGCGCACTGGAGTACACTTAGGAGATTTTTTCCCAACTTTCACAAAATAACTTTGGATTCGTTCACTCTATGTTGGAAAACCCGCAGTGGCCGCGGGTACTAAATTTCGTCATGATCAGAATTTTTTTAGAAATTTTTCGAATTTAGTGGTAGGAATTTTGTAAAAGTTGTAATTATGGTTACTGAGAGTACGCGCAAATTTTAGAACTTTTTCAGGCGCAGCTCCCAAACGAAAGATTTTAGGTTTACTTGGGAAAATTTTCCTTACATTTTTTTATCATTCACCACAGGGTAACTGCTTCTGTAAATTATATACCGTATGATTTTTTTTGGTAAGAATTTGCCATATCCTTACTCTACTGTGTCTGATCTAGACTACAGTCTGTTATAGAGGTTATACTATTCATAAAGTTCGCCATTTGGCTATTTTGTACTATTGAAATATCCATTTGGTTATTTATTTCCATCTGATATGCACTCGTGATAACCTTGATTTGCAATGATTCCAGTTGCATACAATTTTATATTTAGGTCTGTTTATAAATGTTATTGTCGATAACCTATATCTATCTAGGTGAAAAACATCCGCATATCTAACGCACATTTTTTTTAAATAGACATATCACGCTTAAATGGTTGAGATATATTACTTTTGGTAGTTCGTCTGCTATTTCTACAGAATAATTGTTGTGGTTTCGAATCAGGCAGTGTTTGACTATCTACTGGGTCCATTTTTGGTTGGTAATTTCCTAATGCTAGACTAATTTAGGCATGTGACTATTTCCGCTTTATTTTATAATCGTAGCTGCTAACACGATCTTCTGTCGTGTCAACATTAACGTCTCTAATTACGAGTAATATATTTTTTAGCAGTAAAGTTGGAATATCTCCACATATCATCATTCCATTCATCCATATTTTTCTCCTTTTTTATTTCTGACAATTAACTTAGAAAACGTGATTATTTCTACTTGCTTGCACCTAAAAAAAGCACTGGGTCACCAGATACTTTTCATATATTGACAGAAAAAGCACAAAAATGAAATGGTTACAATATACCTACTGCCGGGGTCCCACGTTAGGCGCCAAATAATGTTGTATGCAATAGTATGCTGTCAATTACATTACAAAACCCCCAAAACACCTGTCCAACAAACTCAAAATCTAAAAAAAATTGCTGTGGCTAGTACAGATAGGTACCACTCGCAAAACTGCGCATGGGCGATTCTACCCTTATCTCTAAGAATGTGTACCAAATTTGGTTCCAATCGGTTCAGCTGTTTAGCCGGAAATGAACGTTCGACACATTTACGCATGCGCAATTCTGCCCAAACGCTTTTCAGCTCTTCCTTTTGTGTCTCAGGGTATGTGCACGAAAATTTGGTTTCAATCGGTTCGGTTCGGAACAATATAGTTCCGTATAAAAATCGTTTATCGTAGGCTAAAATCCTACGTATATAATACGCATGAATGTCCGGCAGATATTGGTATATTCGTCGTTTATTATTCCCTATTAATATAGGATTTATATGCGTATATTAAAGTGGTGTTCTATACGTTTATGAACCGAATGCTAAAAACGGATACTTATACACGCATTATCAACGTCGAACGTGAACTATATGGTTTATATGTGTATGAAAAAAATCGTACATTAAACGTAGGTATAAAATTGGTGTACACAAGAACTGTATACCATACTACCAATACCGAATTTATCCTTTCAAAACGCTTTAAAACAGTAATTTAAACGTTAATGTTTGCTGGGGACAGACCGACAGATTGATCGACATTTTGTTTCATTCGGATTCCTGGTGCTTCAAAACGTGTATTTCTGTAAAAAAAAAAGTGGGGAGGGGGTCATTTTTTACCCCAATGCAGTAGGTACGTCCCTTTCTGACGTGCGGGTGGTAAAAAATTACACATTTTGTAATTTCTCCTTAAACACATCAGGCATCTCCTGTAAAGAAAAATCCCAATAATGACTTTAATCACTCAAGTTGAAAGACTCTGGTCTTCCGTAAACTCCAAAGAATTAATTAGAAAAAATTTGATTAACACTTGGAATAAATCTTGGGCACCATCAGAAAAATCTGACATGAGGACTCTATCTGGGTCGTAATTTTTGGTTCGAATTAACACAGAATTAAATGAATGACAATTACAAAAATTTATTCCAAAACACAAGAGAACATTAAGGCAAATTCCTGAAATAAAGAGAAAGGTAACCAATGCCTGTTTCTTTTTACAAAAATACCGCGCGCGCAGACAATCGATCACAAATAAAGAAAATCATAAAATCCAAACTATCGGATCGTTACAATGGTTTGCAATAATCGGATGCACAACATTTGAAACCAACAACTGACAACTTCTGATTCCTGATTCTTACACCACGAACTTAATTTCCAATAAACAACAATAGCTTGTTAATTAAGATGACAACAATTATATATGGCTGCTCGGACGGGAAACTTTTGATTTTTAATAACAAAGGAGTCTCATAGAATAGCCTTGTTTACACTACGATTCAGTTGAATTAAACTTCCCCGTACAACGGATCACACTCGTCAAATTACACACCAACTTTTGACTACTTGCTTCGGAACAGAGTTATTATAATAACGAAAATATGTCTTGAAATTAGTTAAACTAGGCGGACTACCCGAATAAACTTTAGCGTATCGACAAGCTCAGATGACTTCAACCGTTGCCAAAGCAGCAGCTTACTTTTTTCCGTTGTTTTTCGTATTTATGGTAAACTACCAACATTAACACCAACAGAACGCGTAAGATATCCCCTCTTCTATTGCACGAAATTATAGTTTAAAACACGTGCAATATCTTATATGGGCAAAATGTGCATTTTTGTAAAAAGTTAATTAACTCAACCTGCTTGATTTCTTTAAAACAAGACTCGAGCTTTAAACTTATTGCAATTTCCATGGTTGAAATGTTTCCGCTTCCCAAATTTGAAACAATTATGAATTTCTTTTTAATGGTCGCCTCGATTACTGTGCCGCGGATCGCTTTAATTTTTCCTCTCAGTCTCCATATTTTTTTGTTAATTAGTACTGCCTCTTTTTATGTCACGTGTAGTAATTAAGCCCACCGTGTTTTCTCAAGAATAAATCTTTTGCCCTGCACTTAAACAAACCACGTACCAAATGTTTGATGACTCCCGTTTTTATGACCCAAAGAATTGTCCTTTGTGACATTTGCTGGTGTTAATTAAATAGCTCTAATTGAGAAAACTAAATATGCTATAAAACTAGATATCTCGACTCGAAAGATTTCCGAAACCCATTAAGAAACAAAACCTCATATAAATAGGTACGTAGAACTAAATGCACGGCAGTTGATCAATTTATTCTTTAAAAATATAGCAAAAAAACCACTATATCACATATTTTTTAGCGCATTTTTGAAAAAAAACATGCTATTATATTCGTTATGGCTGGCTGGCTGTTCGGCTGAGATCTCATCTATTACAATAGCTAAAGACTTCAAATTTTCACTAAAAGCTTTCTGCTATAGTGTAGATGTGCAGGCTCTATTCTATTTTGAGTTAGACTACTCGTGAGATCAATAATTTCAAACTTTGCTAATAAAAGACTGATCTGTATTATCAAAAAGTGCGCTTTGATCATGCATATGCTGATTTACAACTTGTTTTATATTATTATATTATTATATTTTATTATACTATAGACATATCGTATTTTTCAAAATTTTGAAATGGCATGTGTCTACCGTCAGCCATTTTTATTGATTGGTATCGGCTGCCATGAATACAATAAAAAGAAAAATCTTCATGAATCCATGAGCTACTATTTACAAACCGTGAAAAATTAAGTTTTTATTTTTGGTTCATGGTTAAAATTAAAAAAAATATAGGTTGTGATAGATCAATGTAATCAGGAAAAATAAGAATGCAAAAAGTTTCAAAACAGCTGAGATACACTGCAGACACACGGTACACGCACAGTTCTTATCTTATTATCTAGAATAATCGTATGGCTAATAATAACCAAGGGCGAAAAGTCGTTGGGAAATATTAGAGTGGATATACTTCTAGTTAAGGTGATCATTTTTCCCACGGGTTAATACGCGGTTAATTTATTAATTGTCATATGTTTCCCATTACCTTCAACACTTTTGCTGATGTATGTCGGTGTACCACATGGTAAGTACAAATACATTTTTTTCTCAATCTGTTTATATGGGAGCAAGTGTAATTAATTTTCTCACATTCATACAATTTAAATATTATTATTTTCCAAACTGCTGACTTGGATAACTTGATAGGATCTGTATGAAAAAAAACATTTTCCTGAAAAAAAACAACGCCAAAATTCGCAAAAAATAATTACATGCTAACTTCATTGACTTGACACCAGCGGTGGTAAGTTGCGGCGGCCAATGGCAACCAGGATGTAATGTCGGCGGAACCGACGGAAGCACGGGAACACAAGCAACAAAGCATAAATTAAGTAGCGGTAGCTACGGGAAATAAAATGCAGGAAAATCAAAGCAATACTCCCATTATAATTAACGGAAAGTAGTGTCAAACGCTTACTTTTGAAATTAAACGAATCGGAAAATAAAAAATGATCTCAATGCACGCGAGCACAGTGAAATTGCCAAAAGATCCTCCTAAATCGTCCTGTTGCATTATATAAGTTTCCAAAAAAAGATTCGGTAGCCCAGTATTGCCCATGTTTACCTGGAATAAATGAAAATAAACTGCACAATCTTGCAACTCTAATGCTCGTTTTCGCTAAACATTGGAATACCAAAATCTGTTAATAATTAATTAACGGATCTGAAATTCTAAAATAATAATCTTTCCTTTGCTTCCCCATGCCGAAGGATGTCAGATGTTACAAAAATAATTGACATATCTCGGGAACAATTAGAAAAATGATCATTTATATACGGCAACTGGTTTCCTTGTCAGCGTCTAAGACGGCACTAGAAATGAAAGTATTTAATTCTACCTTCTGTTTCCAACTCCAAAAGAAATAAATAGTTCCGGAACAACACTTTTCTTAACGAAGCGCTTCTAGATACCTGGTGTTCTTTAAAGCTGATAGACTCCAAAATGTACGGTGTGTTCATTAATGCTGGTATAAAAACAAAGTGCTTCGTTACAGTGTGAACAACAATATTTGAGAAATTCTAATCGGTTTTACCATCCGTAAGTTAGTAAGCGAGATATTACATTGCGGTAAAATAATTTGTACCGTACAAGGGGCTTCGATAACAAAGAATTTGATTGTAAGTGGACTGTAATTATGAAGTACTTCCAAGGCCTTGTTTATGCTGGGAATGAAAGAATATAGACACATAAATAAACGTGTTTATTATCAAAAATACAAAGTAAATGAATTTCTATTGAACATGGTTGACGTAGGCACGACGGCTACTAGAATATGGTAAAGTTACGCAGGATAATGTAAACAAAGGAACTTACGTGTTGTTTCGAAGTCCATTAACAACGAAGGCGATGTTGCAATGGCGAAGATTGCTCTATTCTAAGAAGTTGTCGAATTTGTCGATTTTGTTACAACGAAATCTTCTTATAGATGTGCGGTGCTTTGACGTTCTGCTTGTTAATAACGATGTTGCGAACTGCACGGCGACATCTTGACTAGATGTGGATCGATCGAGATCTATATGCGAACAACGAAGGCTAATCGGCCATTGAATAACGGCGACTTCTCAACGTAGTTGAGTCGATGGCTTCTAAGCGAAGAATCGAGCGAATTCTGCGCGACGAGTACACATATTGCGCTTCTGCGGCTCATGCGCGCACACGTAACAAATAGGAATATATACAGTCAAGGCAAAACGGTTATGTACAGGGTATTTTCATTAAAGGAAAAACGAAAGGATATTTTATTCTAGTTTGGGGACGCAACATAATTAGCCGGAAATACACTTTTGAAGCACCAGGAATCCGATTCAAACAATATCTCGACTATGTTAATCGTGTCGATCGGTCTGTCTGTACTCTCATTTTCGGCTAAACGGCTCAACCAAATTTCTTACATATGTATATAAGAAGATCTGTAAAGCTTTTAGGCCACAGAAAACTTGTATAATATCTGGACAACCATATTGCAACTTGAAATTATTTGCGAATTTGGGAAACCAATTTTGATATCGTCGTTTACTCATTGAAATGTCCTGATACCAGGTTTCGTAGAGATGGGAATTTTTATATAAACCGCCATTTAGGGTTGCGTTTCCTGGAGGAAGAAATACCTAATTTTTTACATCTTACTAACTGTGTAAAAGTTCCGTGAAACGAACGATCTACATTGTAGACAATTTTACAGTAGAGGCAGTGGCATTTTCTTTCTATACTTGTGCCGTTAATAAGGTGCCTTCTAAATGTCGCCAGGGCCTTCATAATGCCATATTCTTGTCGTAATTCAAATGAGTTGGCATTGAAATTTTTATCCAAATTTAGTACGACTATCTCATTTGTCGTAAGCAAATCTTGAAGATTTGAGCGCCAAGGTTTCAATCCAATTTTGGCAGGCATTACATACCGGCATTGAAGGTGTAACCTTAACCTTAAGATATAACTTTACACATGTTATGATAATATTTGTCCCCATAATTAAACCGTGCTCATTACGAGCATCGAGACGAAGATGGCATTGTGAGCAATGTAGGGTACTTAAATACAAGTTTAACGCACATACATTGAAAACTTTTTTTTATTTGCAAACCAGCTGCAAGTATCTCTATAACTTGATTTCAGTTAGATCCAGTACTTTATATAAACGACAAGAATTTCTATTAACCTCAAGTAAAAGGTGATGTTGCAAAAGCAATGATCTTCACTGTGATCGTTACCGTTTGCTTATTAGGCTGTGTAACAGCCACGGAAGATGGTAAGTAGTGTTTTGTACGCATCCATCGTAGCTAAGGATCCATCAATTTAAGACAATTGGGAAGCAACAGTCAGCGACGATTTACTAGAATTTATGCGAACAGAAGAAAGATCTCAGAGATTACAACAGGAACTGCAAGGTATGGAATTTCCTAAGTTATGCCGAGAGCGACGTTTGCGAATATTTGACTTTGATCCGCTCGCGTGTAGTGTGTGCAGAACTGTTGTGGGTACAGTACTAAGGGCCCGAAAGTTAGGCTTTGAAAAGGATCGATTCGTGTTTGTTCTTAAAAATCTTTGTACTTGGCTAAAAATCGAGAAAGAGGAAGTATGCGAAGGTGTCATACGTCACAACATCGACACGTTAATATACATTGTCGATAACAGGCCCAAACTGAAAGCAAGTCAAGTCTGTGCGATTGTATTCCAAAACTTGCAATGCAAGGATACATCACTGCAAGAATGGAGCCTCGCGCTTCCGCCCTATGAAGCGCATAACGTTTCTCTCGTAAGAGAATCGAAATTTCAGAACGAGCAGAATGGATCGTTTAGAATAGTTCAGATCACCGATTTGCACTACGATCCCGAGTACAGTGTAGGATCCAATACGGATTGTGGTTTACCGATCTGCTGCCAAAATGGTTCCGTACCAGAATCAGAGGCGACTGCCGCAGGTTTCTGGGGCGATTACCGCGACTGCGATCCGCCATGGAATGCAGTTGTTGACCTAGTGCAACATATTAAACAAGAACACGTATGAGCAACCCCTAACGTCTGTAAGCATTGAAGTTTATTTTCAGAAAAACATAGGGTACATTTATTTTACTGGAGACATTGTTGCACACAAGGTGCACGATACCAGCAAGGACCGAAATACTAAAGATGTAACCAAAGTTTATAAGGAGTTGAAGAAGGTGTTTGGAGACATACCAATTTACCCCGTTTTAGGGAATCACGAAGCGCACCCCGTCAATCAGTAAGACTAATTAGTTGCACTTTGCCCAATTGACATTTACACTGTAGGTTTACCTCAGAAGACGTAAATCCAGACATGGAAATTTCAACACGTTGGATTTTCAGCTTGGCCGCCGAGCTTTGGCGGGATTGGTTACCACCGGAGGCCACAAAGACGATATTGAGAGGGGGGTACTATACAGCCTTAGTCAGACCGGGTTTTCGCGTCATTGCGCTGAACAGTAACGTCTGCTATTCGTACAACTTCTGGTTGTTATACGAAGGCTCTGATCCATATGGGCAATTGCAGTGGTTAATAGACACGCTTTTGGATGCGGAAACCAATAATGAGAAGGTTCACATCCTTTCACATGTACCTTCCGGCGATTCCTCTTGCGTAAAAAACTGGGGGAGGGAATACGTTAACATAGTAAATAGGTACTAAATGATCGCACATTTTTCAGGTTTAATGTTTGAGGTTGTAGGTTTTCGCATGTGATTTCTGCACAGTTTAATGGTCACACCCATTGGGACGATACGGTAATATATTACAGCAATGTAAATCGCAGCGAGGCTATTAATGTGGCTTTTAATGGAGGAAGCTTTACCACGTATTCCCTTTTAAATCCGAATTATAAAGTGTACGACGTGGACGCGGCGCAAATGGTACCTAGACTTGAGTGTATTATTTCCTCAGATCACCACTGCACTTTTAGGATGTTACCAATTTTGAGTCGTGGACGTACAACATCACAGAAGCAAATGAGAGGAGTTCGGATACTCCAAAATGGTACAAACTGTATGATTTTAAAAGCGCATATAACGTATCCAGTTTGCATCCGCAAGAATTGTCGAGATTGGTTGAGCGTATGACCAAAGAAAAATCTTTAACTCAGTCCTACTTCAGGTAGTATATACGTTTAAAGATTTTAATTAAACTGTTGGACGTTAGGTATAAAAATCGAGATGCAGATCCTACCATAGCAAAGGGATGCAAATCAGATTGCGAGTTAGAAAACATTTGCACTATGGTTACGTCAGCCCATGGAGATGACTACCATTGCAAAATGTATACCCGCATGTATAAGAAGAATCGTCGTTAAATACGACGAGGGGGGGGGGGCAACATGCTAGACTCTCTAAAAAGTAAAGATTCATAACGTCATATTAATAGGTTTTCTAAAAGCAAGGATTTATTTCGCTTAGTTTAGGGGAATCTCTTGATTTTGTGATAAGACCTTTGATTGTTAGGGGTGGTACGTTTTATTCTGTCCGTTAGCTAACGACTTTAGCAACTAGTGCAACCCCTAGTAATATACTTAGTGGGTAACTTTTCACAACACCACCATTTTTTTCTTGGAATATTATATTATTAGGTCGTTTTGTATTCTGTTGACTTAGATCCAACTATAGTGCCATTAACATTTTGTCAATTAACTTTCTGGTTAGAAATATATTAATTTTACAATTGAATATGAATGACACCAATAATTAACTTATTTATTCATGGAAGAACGGCAAGGGAATTGTCAAAACGCCTTACGCCACTATCACTCAAGAAATGTCACTCGTTGGCTCTTCTGTCGCCTCCACTCCGCACTTGATCGGATATTCCCGCCGTTTTTGATTACCCGTGCAGCATTCGGCATTCCTAATGCCCTCATTAGCAACAGACTAACTCTCTAGGAGATCCAATAGTTCCATCCTATCGATGTTTGCGCCCATCACACACACCATCATCGCACTCATTTTTCATCCAGGCGTGGATAACGCCTAAGTGAGTCACACTCTACATGCATTTCCACCAGCATATCCACTTGGGAGATACAGCGGTTAATGGACCCATCCTCACCATCTCGATCCACATCTGCCCGGACATCTCCTTGGATGCACACAGCTTGTTGCTGTCCGCCGGATGCGTTGCCAAACTCGATCCATTTACAACCCCTTCCGCCGTCAGCTTTCGAGGTATAAGAAGAGTTAGGGCTAAGTCCCCTAAGACTAAGGATGCCTTGCAAATTCTCGCAGCATTTCGCCCGCTTCCATGGATAAGGCGTCACAATCCGACATGATAACTCGTACGCCGATACGCACGCCTATGGAGTGATGGGATCGGTACAGTGTGATATTTCAATAATTGAAAACTATTCAAATTCACCACCCATAACCCGCCTTTTAATTTTCCCTCTACTGTACGCAAACCACCAATTATTAATCGCCAACCAAATTCGTAAATAATACCTACAATTCACCTAATAAATTGTACCTACGTACGCCTCTGTTCAATACATATACACCAATATTGCGCCGCAACCACCTGCATGCACAGCATACTATTGAACTCGCGAACGTGTTAAAACCTTGGAACACCGGTAGGTATTATCGCACCGTTGCATTTTAATTTTCATAATTCGCTTTAATTTTGTACACGCCAAATTGCATTTCTTGCAACTGAATATGAATTACGCCGATAATTAACTTATTTATTAATGGAAGAACGCCAAGAAATTTTTCACGCCTTACACCTACCACTATCACCCAAGGAATGTCACTCGCCGGCAATTCAGTCACCTCCCCGACGTACTTGATCGGTTATTCCCGCCGTTTTTGATCTCCGGTGAAACATTAACATTCCTCTATGTACGCTTATTCTACTTCAAATAAATTAAAATTCAATTATTTCTTCAACCTTCTTCATTGCCTGTGAAAAAAGTTCCCGGGTTGATTCCTTTAGGAATATTAAAATTACATTGAACAAAATTTCTTATGCAAATTCCTAAAAATAACCCACCACTACTTTATACAACTCAATTAATGTAAAATAACTTACAGTTACTGGCGTGGTTCTCTGCTGGTAAAAAAATTGATCTTATCTCTCCTTGGAAAATGCCGCTCCCTTTAGAAAGAGACCCCTTCAATGGTATAGTTGACTCCGTGATGAATGCAAAACAAAAATGTCCCTTCGTATAGCGAATCCAAGCAAACAGACTTTAACTTCGTGAAAACAATACTCGAGATCGTGATTATGCATAGGAATAAAATGCCAACGTCCCTCGATGTCGATATTAAAGTTGCCACTAGGTTTTGTTGCAAAAAGGAATGCACCGATTGGCACCTCTCGCCTCTTCCATAGACCTCTTCTTTGATATCGACCGCCTATTAACTTCGAGCACTCTTTTCAAATATAGCGGTGACTAGCAACGACCGCCTAATACACTCGAAAGGGGTAGGGACACCTCTCTCGCCTTCCATAGACCTCTGGAAGTTTTACTATGTTGAACAAAATACAAATTCAAAAAAAAACTGCTAAGCGATTCTGTTACACACTTTAGTAAGGGGAAGGGGGGTATTGCCTTGAGGGAAAAATGACCCCCACGCTTTTGAAAGAAATACATTTTGAAGCACCATCTAAAAAAATTTATACACTTAAGAAAACGCGTTTCGTCAACAGAACACAGGAAAAATAAAATTTTCGTTGAAAAAGTGTTGGGGTTTAAAGAATAGATTGAGAATTATCGATATTGAAAATAACTTTTTCAATGAAAATTTAATTTTAGTTCCGATTCTGTGTTCTGTTGAAAAGTGGTTTTTTAATTTTTTTTTACTTTTGACTAGTGTTTTTTATTCCGTTACTGAAAAGTCAAAAAGAATTTATTGTTCGTGGCCGTAGATGTAGAGGCGTGAATCTACGGCCCTTCAGTTCGCTCGGCATTGGTTTACGTGCGCACACCGAGTGACAATTTCGCGACTGACACACAAGCAAACAAGAAAGTAATCATAATCATAGAAAAGTGTTTGAAAAATAGGTCTTGAAGCGCCGCCGTGTAATCGAGAAATGTGAAATAAATTTATGACCACATTTTAAAATCGAAAGTGAATTTTGTTGGCGATTCACCACTATAACCTACAAATAGTTTTGCCCGAATCAAGCTCATCTAACGGTTAATTTCTATTCAACAAATGCGTTCACGTAAAAGGTTTTTTATCAGATAACCTTAAAGCAAGAAAAAAATGGTCCCTAGAGCTACACCCATTTAGTTTACTGTGTAGGACTAACTCCAAACTGCCCTAAGTTATAGATTAGAAGCTGTATCTCCAATGATCTTTATTTTTTAAGTTAGCGGTGCTAGTTTTTAAGGTTATGGGTATAAAAAAATGGAGCTAGAGTTTCAATAAACCTCGCATTACCTATTGTTTGATCTTCTAGAACTGTTTTCGCGAAAAAACATGCATCAATCGTCATGAAGCCTTCAGTCGGGAAACTCTAGTTTCAATGACAGTGGCAGTAACACTCTGACTACTTTTCTCGCCACCTGTCACATTGGTAATCTCTAATGGATACTTTAATCACTGACACAAAAAGTTCTATATGAAAATTAAAATTTTATAGATATAATATAAAACTCGTCCGTAAAATGTAATGTATCGTTTTCCTGAGTTTTATGTAAATAACTATTCCTACACTGCGAGACTGTTTAATTGTAGCTGGATTAGTGATGTACTTTTTTATATATTTTTATTGCTTTTATTTTATAGTGGGGTGAGTGCTTAGTAAAGTTGTTTTGCACCAACTAACACGTTGTTCTTTTGTAACTGTTTGTCACTCGCCATTCCTTTCTCCATTCTCAAATTTAAAAGGCACGTAAATGTGCAACTTCATTGCTTGTTTTTCCTTTCCTTTGTATCAAAATTGAAGTTCATGCGTCATTTTATTATTTCTTTATACACGTATTATATTCGAGATAAGACTCGGTTTCATTTTGTTACGGGTTTATCGCGAAATTTTATAAAATACTTTAATATGGGATTAAATCATCAACTTGCTTTGTATTCGGTTGACAAACAAAATTACATGCAAATACTACGTGACAATGGGATCAGAAGCGTAAATATATAACGCAAAATCGATAATTTAAAATATACTGCGATTGGGATGTATCAGACCTTAAATTGCCAATTTTTATGTCAATGGATTACTGTTTCAAACCGTAAATTGCATTTGATTTATCTACGCGGGCCTCTGTAAAGCAACTATTATATACTCAGTACATTGTAGCGATTTATACTATATTATTTTCAACCGCCTATGTATATAAATTATGTTTCTTGCCACTTCAGCAAGACTTGAAATAAAACAAGGAAACGTTTAATGGGCGGTACACTACCCCCTCATTGAAATTGTTATTACAACCGCTTCATCATTGGACGAGTCAATTGGTTGTGTTCGCTTCTGCTTTTATATCAAGTTGCTTACACAAAATTCTTACACATATACAACTTGGTGCTCCACAGTAACTTGACAGGTTGTTATACAAAACACATTTATCAACTCTTCAAGCTACTTAACCTTTCTTCTAAACGTTTCCTATATATTGCAAAACTAGATTGTTTATTTATTTACGATTTATAGGCTTTTGATTTTGATTCAAGAGGTGCCACTTAAGTTTTTTTTTTATGGGCGGATGAACAGGATTCATTTTCCCGATGATAAGTAGCTTATACTCATAAATCAAAAATAACAATAAACGCTGTGTCCAAGGTGAGGATGTCATGGGAATCTCCAAAACTATAGAAGATACGACGATTGTCAAATTAGACAAAAGATGCTCAATTAAAGAGTTATTATCATGCTTTAAGAAAGATTCCGATTACTTCCGAAGATATGCCAGAAAAACCAAAATTTGCAGATTTCGTTTTTATTTGTTTCTGGTGTTATTTGAACAGATAGAACCAAATAAAACACTTTCGCACTTTTTGACCTCTACAAGACATCTTTTTCGATACAACATTTCGTTTCGGAGAAATCATCATCAACTTACCTTTTTTATATGGCTAAAAACAGTACATAAGTATTGTATTCAGTAGCATTTTTGATTACGAATATCAATGTAAAAAATGTGTTCCTTCACATTAGACGACTTCGTAGAGGGGCGCAGTGCGAGTCGCCTTATGAAATGTCTCGACGCCAGCGGCGCTTCTGAGCAGCCGCTGCTCGTATTGGTCGCTTAGTGTGACGACTTCCATATAAACTCTCTTCAGACACGTAGGCAAATTTTACGCGGAATTATCTTATCTAAAATACACCAATTTTTTTTCAATTAAAATGCATCCTTATCTCTAGATAATTACATCAACCGTTAATTTAAAAGAACAAAGTGCCCAATAAATCAAATCTGAACTGTCACATAACTAATTTAACAAAGCTAAATTGATAATGAAAATGAGAGATAAAGTTTCCCTATCCTTTACAATTCTAGGAAGTAATCTTTTTACAACGAAACAAATAAACAAATAACTTGGATACAAGGTAGATACGCAATAATCTTTATGTGTTTATCTGTAAAGAACCCCACCAGATTTATGAAATGAATTTAAATAAACACTTGATTAGTAATTAACGGCCCGTATTTACATCAGGTGACTGGATCCAAAGCAACAACGTCCTCATCGACATTTCATAGCAATATGTTCAAGAATCTGGAGGAACAATTTATATTTTAAAAACTTCTTTTACGTTGAATTATACATAAAAGATTGTCATTACACCCGAACGTCTTCTTTATACACTTCAGAGAATTTACTATGACATTTCATATAATAATCCACTTTTAAGAACTCAAAACCTTCTCCATAAAATTCAATTTATTCCAAAAATTTGATGTTGAAAAATAAGGCTAAGGCGACATGTTTCGGCTAACAAGCCACCATCAGGCCAAGCTTAAAACTATCGGTCACGGTACAAAGTCCATGATATAAACAAGTGAAACGGATGATGAACCCTGACGGGGAGCACTCCAACCGCGCAAGTTAAAAAACCGCCTTCCTAAAGGAAAGACTAACCGAAATATTAAACTAAGGAACAATCCATCAAGTCTTATGGGAAAAATATTTATTAAATTACATTTAGACGAATAGAACGTAACGGAACAAAATCCATGTACAACAATTAAACGGAAGAGAGAACTGGGTTCTCTTCTGCTTGTTAGCCGAAACATGTCGCCTTAGCCTTATTTTTCAACATCAAATTTTTTGAATAAATTGAATTTTATGGGGAAGGTTTTGAGTTCTTAAACGTGGATTATCATTGCTCCCCATTTCAAGTTATATAAAGAGAAAATGGATACCCAACGGAATTTCATATAATGCCTAGTATTAGTTATTTACTCATAATAATTTACAATTACCAAACCAAACAAAAAACAACAATTACCAAAAACATGTAGAATTGTTAAAAATTGATACATGTTTTTCATAAGAAAGCTTTTGTGAGATAGGCAACACACAATACTGATAACGCACCTTTAAGTGATTGGAGTTTCAACAAAAGTTGCTTTACCAACTACTTTCTACTTACAAAAATCCATGTTCTAATCCGGATGAAAATAGCGGCCCTCAGGACAGCAGTCTAGCTTCCACTCCATTACAACAAACCATCGTAAAATGATTATTTAGATGTGTCAACAAAGGTGACAGGTAATTACTTGTAATGGTGGCAGAACCACTGAGCAAGAAGAAAAAGCACCACCTTAAATAGTGATTCAACAAGAGAGGGACGGATGCCCATCTTCCGAGTCCGAGTTCTCTTAATCTCTCCAGACTCAGGTTCGTGTTTCGATATCCAATGCTTCCAGAAGAAGAAATTTTTGGAATTAAAGATTGACGTCACTTACGAACACTCAGCCTCCTGGATCCTAAAATTTATAGCTGTCCATGTCCGAGTTATGTAAGAATTTTTGCTGAATAAGTGAAAACTACGAGGCGAAATCAGCGAACAGTAGCATCTTCATCTGCCTTTGTGCTCTGAGGAGAACAAAATATTTAAACTAAATTGGATGCATATAGCTCTCTATTGCTCTATTCCCTGCATTGACATGGTGCGTTTAAAAGTACTGGTACATACCTAGTCATACCCCGCCCATATGTACCACATTTAAGAAAAATTCCCTGTATATTGGATATACGAAGAAAAGCGAAAGTTGTCTTGGAAACTAACGAATATTGCAAAGCATTTGATTGGATTTTGAATCTATGGTAGTGAAACAAAAATCTGTCGCCGTTGGATTCCTCAGGCGTTGTATGAATGTGAAGAACAACGTCTTGTACGTACTTATAAAATCATCTCCTAACGGGTTTCTTAGAAATGGAGGGAACACATTTACATTTTCCACTGTCTCATTGGATATAAAAAACGAAAGAGGGTCTGAAATCATAAAAAAATACTGGCACTTAGACAGAAACATGTACCTAACTCCAATGTTGAATTCTTCCGCGAAACTGAAATGAAAAATGGTACAGTCATTATAATACCAGTTTTTATAGACAATTTAATAAGTATACTTTAATTTTATCTGGACGGGTTTTTCTCATCAGACGAACAAGAAAGCAGTACTCTTGAAAAAACGACGTTTGGTAACCTTTCAAAGAAAATAGCGACTATTTCACAGTCCGAAAGGAGAAGCAAACTCAAAAAATGGAAACTGTATCAAGGTTGACTCTTGACTGACAAATTGTGACTGGTGGTGAGATTGGCTGCACCACTGGTTCTCCTCCTCCAAAAAAGGCACGCACCCAACCATCTACTGTAAAGCTGATGGCAACAGTTTTTTGGGGATTTGGAGGGTGTTCTCCTAATCGAATAAATGAAAAAGGGGAGTACTACACACGCAGATGTGTATGGAAATTTTAGCAGTCATTTAGAATAAACGGCCTTCTCAGGCCAATCGGAAAATGTTTCTGCTACACGACAATGCCCAACTGTGCATAATACTGCCAAAATCAAGCCAATTGTGCCAAAATGTGGTTTTATACAGATCAAACATCCTGCCTACTGTCCGGATTTGACGCCTTCCCACTTTTATCACACCATTGTTAAAGAAACACCCTCGGGACCCCCGTTTTGACTCAGAAACTGCTGTGGACAACTTTTTTTTATTTCCAACGGTATTAGTTTGTTAAAAGACAAATAGCTAAGTGCGTTTGTCGCTAGGAAACACTACATTAAAAAACAAAATAATCAAAACTTTTGTTTCATACCGAAGTAGCTTTCTTTCCTAGAGTCACGCGTATGAATGATTCATGATATAGCTTCCAATAAATTACAGAATAAATATTTATAGTGTGAGATAAATAATAAAATTGTGTCACGTGTACCGTACACCAAGGTGTGTTGAAGGGGGAAATGAACAAATTTTTCCATTTAAGTGGAATTTTTCCGCGGAGACCGCGATGCGAACGTAAACCTGTGTCATAAAGAAGAACGATGCGTTTTGTTGGATGGCTTAAGTACTTTGTTTACATCAACTGTGATATAACTACATTTAATTAACGTATTTTTGTTTTAAAGGTCACAAAATCATTGACCATAATATAACTTGTGATAAACCTAATCGCTTACCCAGCATTTTCCATTACATCCAAGGTGTGAACTCTATATCTATATGATTTCTGTGTCATCGGCAATGAGCAACGTATTATTGTTTTTATTGATTGTCGGAGGTTGCTTTACAGAAAAACCTTCCGGTAAGTGCAGCTTCGTTGTTTAATTTCCTGGTAACCTTAACACGATTTTCAGATAAATGGAGGTCGCAGTTGCGGCGCGATTTAGAGGGTTATATTAATTCACCTCCTGAAAAACAACAGTCAGAAGTAAGTTTAATCAGCAGTTTGACACTACCTCAGGTGGTCCAGAGATGGCTTACATCTCCATTAAATGGGGAGCCTCTTTGCGACGTTTGCGATGTAATGGTCGAAATTGCAATAAACGCGCGGAAATTAGAAGCCAGCGAAGACCTTGTTGCTGAAGTATTTGTCAAGATGTGCTTGTGGTTAGGTTTGGAAAGGGCGTCTTTCTGTGAAACTTATGTAAAGAACAACATCGATATTTGGTTGTACATTATTGACAACAAACCTTCTATACGGTCGAGAACTTTCTGCGTGTATGCTCTGCATAAACACCACTGCCGGGATCCTGAGCGTATGGATTGGACTATTGAATTGCCTCCTAGACTAACTTCGGATAACGCGGATCGTTCTCCAACAGTAATCGCGTTGTAGGCCTTATATGAAGATAAACCATCAAATTTTAGAATACTAAACAATCACCCCTCAAGATTCTCCACTTAACCGACGTTCACTACGATCCTGGATATGAAGTCGGCTCAAACGCAAAATGTGACGAAATACTCTGCTGCCAAAAGGGCACGAAAGCTAACAGAAGTTCAGACCAAGCCGGTTACTGGGGCAGCTATCCATGTGATAGCCCTTGGCATACTGTCGAAAACGTTTTAACTGAAGCTATAGAAAGACATGTACAAGTAACGGACAAAATAAGTCTCTCTGACATTAATTCTTTTAGAAAACCTTTGACGCCATATACTTCACGGGCGACATCATCAAACACAGTGAGTGGCTGACGGGAGTCAAGAACAATATCGATGATATCCTTAAAGTGTTTGATAAGTTCGAGGAAGTGTTTAAAGGTTTGCCGGTATTCCCCACTTTGGGAAACCACGAACCTCATCCGGCACATCAGTAAGTTGTTTACGGACATGTATATTAATCCGTCCTTTCAGATTTTCTTCAGATGGAATCGATGCGAAGAGCAATTTATCAACGCAGTGGGTGTACGATTTGGTTGGAAAATCGTGGGACACCTGGTTACCAGAAGAGTCCCTACAAACTGTGTTTAAAGGAGGGTATTATGCCTTGATAAAGCCTGGATTGAGATTGATTGCTTTAAATAACAACGTGTGCTTCACATACAATAACTGGCTATTCTACGATGACAACGATCCACTAGGTCAACTGAAATGGATGGTCAAGGTGTTAGCAGAGGCGGAAAAGAAGGGCGAGAAAGTGCATATAATTTCTCATATCCCATCAAACGACTTGTTCTGCTTCTTTAATTGGGGTAAAGAGTACACCAGAATTGTGGAGAGGTATAACCTCGTTCGTTACCGGGAGACGAGTTGACGTTAATTTTATATTCTCCCATGTAATAGTGGGTCAATTTAATGGACATACTCACGATGACGACTTCATTGTGTACTTCAGTTCCCAAAACACTAGTAAAGCGATTAATGTTGCATACGTTGGAGGAAGCGCTACAACTTTTAGAAATTTAAATTCTAATTACAAGATATTCCATGTCGATGCTAACACATATGTGAGTTCCTCGGGTTTTATTTTGAATTACATTCACAATAGTCTTAGGCTACGCTTAATTATGAATCTTGGATATATAATTTAACGGAAGCGAATCTAACCCCAAACAATCCACCGAGATGGTACAAACTGTATGATTTCAAAACCTCATTTAATTTATCCAGTTTAAACCCAAGCGACTTTGCGGATCTCATTGAGCATATGACCCAAGACTCGGGACTTCTTCAAGACTACCACAGGTAAATAGCGTACTGTGACACAAGTGAAACTAGTAGCGATACCGTAGGTACAAAAAACGAGAGGCAGACCCAGAAATGGCGGTGGGTTGCAATAGAAAGTGTCAGCTAGACGATATCTGTTATATGACCACTTCTTGGTATGGAGGTGATTACCATTGCCACCACTACACAGCGATGTATAACGATCACCAATTGAAACATTAGTTACAATTTGACTGGAAGTTAGAGCTTAAAATGTAGTTCGAGACAATTTCTAAAAAGATGTAGTAGCTAATTACGTAAGTTTTAGGATGAAATAAACGTGTAAACAAATATATAGAAAACGAACTCCTGGGTATGGGCTATTTATTGTGCAAAACCCAATTTTGAAACTGGCGTTCAATTTGCTTTTATTCCAAGTGGCTATGATCATATTTCATTTAAATCCCTCCATAAATAAGAAAGTTGGCACTGCGCATGCGTAAAACCAAATTTTTGGTAGGTATTTTCCTCTTCTTCGTTATCCATAACGTCTTCACTTTCGGAATCTTACTTTCTTCATTAGTTGATATTGTTGTGTTCATTTCGTTTGTTGGGATTGCGCTTTGTATTGATTATTTAAGAAATATTTCGACAAAATGTATTAATTGTTGTTGATGGCCAAGTGAATCTCCTTGTCCAGTCGAATCTAGTTTCCCTGGTTGTCTCTTCGGGACTGATAACCGACAGCGCTTTCTTCTTGTCTACGGTCATCATAACTTAGAATCTTCATTTTCTTAAAAATAATTGTATCGTTTTTGGTAATTTCTTCTTTCATAATTTTGTCTATCGTCTCTTTTCTCTTAGTTTTCTCGATTTCTTGCCGATCATTGCTTCGATTTTGATAATTGCTTTGATATTGGTCTCTTCTGTCTTGCTGATAATTATTTCTTCGAGAAATCGGATTGGCTTTTTGTACCCTTTCGAGCGTGTTGACCAAATTCTGTACTGTGTTATCTTCGGACCCAATCAAAATATTCTCCACTTCTTGGGGGAAGTGTCTGGTTAAGGCGTTAAAAAATGCTCTTCTCTGAGAGGAGGCTGACAATGGGACGTCTCTCCTACCCAGTACCATACGTGGTCCACATAACTTCCTCTTCGAGAATCATGTAGTTCTGGTGTTGCTAATCTCAGATTTGCTCAATATGTTTTTTTTGCATCGGCAACATGTTTTTTTGCGCATGCGTTTTATTTGCTTTTATTGGAGTGACCTACCATCAAAATTTGGTGCGGATTTCTCCATAGATATGAAAGTTGCATTTTGCGCATGGGCGCAGAGCAGGACTATTTTTCGACCAAAGTTGCGTTTTTGTTTATTTGCTTTTATTAGTGGAAGTTACCATACAAATTTCTAGTCTGGTCCGAATGTGGTATTCAGAGGTTTGAGGGGAGGGGGGTAGGACTCGGGACATCCGTTTAGACCATTTCTGGATTTCTCCATTCCGAATTCCAACCCTCTTATTGTTTAGGTTAGGTTAGGACGAGATGCCCAGAATTTGAAAATTAGGCGGGGGAGGGGGGCACGTTCTACCGTGCAAAATATGCATGCAAAATCAGTTTCTTTCTTTGTACAAATGTAAATAAACATAATTTATATGGAGTCACAAAAACTTATTATTCTTATAGCTCCGCAGCAGGTAAGTGCGGCACAATTTCATAAACGGTCAATATAACTGGTGCAGGCATTCTAGTGCTACGTCGACAAAAATACAACATGCATCATCTACAGTTAAATACACAATTTAATTCCTTCACGTGCAGGCCAAAAACCAAGTGAAAAATGTAGTCCTTTGGACATTTATAACTTATATTATAACTTCCAAGATGTAAAAACAAGGTAACAAGATCAACTGTGTACTTTAGATAACAATGTATGTACATAAGATTACAATGAAAGTAGGTACTTCAAGGTACAATGGTCGTTGGGCAAGATCAAGTTGTCCGATGATTTCAAAGTTACAAAACAAGTGCTTGAACCGAAATTGATACTTTGCAATACAGTGATTGGAATGTAGCGACTGTGGGGTCTTTCAAATTTCTATTAAAAATATCTGATACATAATAGTCTCATGGAAATACATGTTTCTATGGAAATTAAGGGTCAGATATGTTTAACTAAAACGTCAAAAATCGGAGTGATGCTTTTTATATCAACGGGGAATGGTTTGTGTATAACAACTGAATTTCATGAATATCCGCATGTAAAACCGCGTAAGTATATTGATTCAGATTGTGACCGATAACTAAGTACATGGTATCTGTGCTATAGGAGTATCTACACCAGTCATCAGCTTGTTACTCATATCTCTAAGTATTTTTTTACTCTTTGCTGCGATAGCGATCATAACTTTTCTAAGATGGTAACCGATACCATTGTGTTATGAAAATCACTGCTAACACTTTATGAACCGTAACATGGTAGTAACCTTGCCGAAGAAGCTTGCAGAGAAAGGGTATTTTTAAATAGTGTTGCAATTTATGCTGTACGCGGTTTTGATACTGATATGGCAGGCTATAATTAATTTTCCGGCGCTGAACGAGTAGAGTAAATTAAGTAATTTTCCTTGTTGAACTGCCCTTTACCGACATCTGGAGCTAAGTCAATGCACGAGCTAGTTAACGCAGGGATGTATTTCGCAAAAGGTGGACTAGGTGCGCTCCTAGTGCGGCAAATTTTTTTCATAGTACGATATTTCATACGCTTGTACCTTAAATACGTTCAACAAAATTAAACTGTTTTTAATTAATTACTCGTCCTGCAGTTATCGGAAAAATAAGGGACTACTTGCAAATATCTGAAAACATTAGAGCGCATACCAAGACATTTCTCACGACTGCTTCTGATAACCTTACCTGAAACGTCAGTCATTAATTATGCTTCAAATAGGCGCGTTCAAACTTTAATATGCGGTAACCCAATTAACACCTAGGTCTAATTGGAATTTTCCCGACACAACTGCTGTAGTTACCTATCTACACACATGCACGCTGCAAGACTGATAACGTGTAAACATCCCGATTTGGAACTCGTTATATCCTTGTTTTCACTGACTATTGGAGAACTAAAATCGATTAATTAATTAACGGAGTTGAAATCTCAAAATATAGTATCGCCTTCATCTTCTTTGGCAAGAGAGCTTTCGGAGGCCGTAAAAGCAATTTAAATATTCCCGCCGGAACTGATAAATTCACTACAAAACTGAAGTGAACAGAAGACTACTCCTCGTCTCCTATAGTAAATAAGTAAATCCCGAAACTACAATTTTTAATAACGAAGCGGCCAGCTTAAAACGCTTCTAGATGCCGGGTGTTCAGCAATGGTTGTCGATTTCACGTACGGTGTGGTCATAACTTCGGGTATGAACTTTAGGGCGAAAAACGGGTGCTTCGTTACACGCTATTAATCGTAGCGTAATTACACTGATACCAGTGATAGAAAGATAGTGAAAGCTAAGCTAAGTGTGTCAAAGAATAACGTATACATCTCCTATTTTTAATTAAAGATTTTAGAAATGTTATGCGTTATACGATCATTCTTTAACTTATCCTTGTTGTTGGTTGTGTAATTGCGCTGTTCACAATTAAAGACCTTGGGAATTCTATGGATTGAACGATCATTTCTTAAATTATTTTTACATAACTGTACTGGTCACATTTAAAATGTTTGAACGCAACGTGATACAATGGTACGTTTCAAGCTATCCTTGCCCTTTAACGTGTAACTACATTGATTAAAAACGAAATTTTTGCAAATGCATTTACTGTTACCGCCGTAAACAGTACAGATTACTTTTGGCCATTGTAAATAAACAACAAAATGGCGGTCTTCTTCCACCTGTATTAATTACAATGTGCTGCCACCATACGTCTCATTGGTAATCTGAGGTATTCTTCAACCATCTTCTGTAAATTTTCAAAAATAACTCCTGTACTTTCATGGACAACACAGGCAGGTTAAGTTGCGTTGACATGTACGTATATCTCCACCCCATTCCTCCTTGCCCAAACAGTTCCGTCACTGTAGAGATGACTCCTATAGTGTAGTAACGCTACAATTTACACATTGGTACAATATCATCACACATTTTACGTGGAAAACAACAAACGAATGATCAAACTAATCTGTTCTTGTGACGAAATTGTAAAACCAACACACGCATAACTGGTCAAGGGTTATCGTTAAATATCCGGACGAATTGTTAAACACATAGTAAACAAATGACCCAACTTTGATAACGGTAACTAATATCTCTCCATTGATCGAATTTCTACATGCACTATCAACATTATTACTGCAGTCTATTTCAACCAAACCGTTACCTAAAGGTAGACTCCCATTAATAATTTAAATTTGAAAATTTGCATACCGACCTAGTTTTTCATGATCTATCGAAGGGAAATATTATCATGATCATTTCACTTTCGGTTTTAGCGGATATGGATAGCAACTTTCTTATTTTAAATAGAACACTCTATATTTTATTGCTTTTTACAAATCTACAGGAAAATCTGCGTCGTATGATACCACTATACCCAGCATCAAAGGTTTTCAGGTAAGATTTTTCAAAATTTTTAACGCTTCACTGCTTTTCTTTAGCTCCCAGTACCTATCGCTCTGTTGACTTGAATTTCAAAAAATTTTCCAAAATCAACAATACTGCCATGATGCTACATGCGAATGATTTAAATTCTGATCGCCCTTCTACAGGGTGTTTTAAAATTAATGGTCAAGTTTAATAACTTCGACACTTAAAAAGTTGATTTTGTCAAATACCTGCTTTATTTTTATGTACTTTCAAATGTCGAAAAGAAATTTACAGCGATCATTTACATCCCCTATACCTATCCGTTTTGGTTTTGGTTTTGGTTTTATTTAAGATTTTCCAAAATTGTGACGGTTACTGCATAATTTTGTTAGGAGGCCTTGAAATAAACACGTTAGCAAATCTGTCAGACACATTTTTTAATTTTTATAACTGTTAGCATGTTGTTCGTGGTAGTTTATATCACTAGGTATGAAAAAATCCTATTTACTTTAATGAATACAAAGTTAAATAAAGATGAAATCAAAAACAGAAACTGAGCATGATAACAAACGACAAAATAAGAAACAAACTACAATTGTTGTTTTGTTTTACGTGATCGCCGTTTTTTTTAATGCATAATGGCATCCTCTGATTAACTCCGTTGATAGTTTGCCTCTCGAATTCCTACTTCATTTCATCAAAAGCTCTTCTCACCATAACTTGCAGTTCTTCACGAGAAAAAAACTGGTGTAACTTTGTTTTTTATAAGACCCCACGCAAAAGTCCAGTGGCGTTACCTATATCTGGAGAACTAGAAGACCAATCTGTAGGCCTAATGCACCTGTCTTCAAAAATGTTCAAAAACATTATAAGCATCATGGGTGGAATGAGCCGGCGCTCCGTTGAGTTGAAACCAGCAGTTTTCCCCAGCTATTGTTCCCAAGGATGGTACAATGGCATCTACTAACACTTTTATTTCAAGTCCTCCTTAAGAAAATTATGCATATAACGGTCACAGTAGTTTTAGAAAATCTTAAACAAAACGAAAACCTAACAGATAGGTATAGAAAATGTAATAATTGATCGATGTAGAATTTTTTCCACATTTGAAAATGCAAAAAGATAAAGCAGGTTTCATTTGAAAAAATCAATTTTTTAAGTGTCGAAGTTATTAAACTTGACCATTAATTTTAAAACACCCTGTAGAAGAGGGATCAGAATTTAAATCATGTAGCATCAGGTCAGTATTGTTGATATTGGAAGACTTTTTGAAATTCTAGTCAACGGAGTTATAGGTACAGGACCCTAAAGAAAAGCAGTCAAACGTCAAAAATTTTGAAAAATCTTGAACAACCTAAAACCTTTGATGCTAGGTATAGGAAAATGTAGTATCAAATGACGTAGCTAGATTGTCATATAGATCTCTAAAGTGCAATAAAATATAGGGTGTTCTATTTAAAATCCGAAATGAAATAAAACGACCATGATAATATTTTCTTTGGATAGATCATGAAAAACTATGTTGGTATAAAAATTTTCAGATTTAAATTATTAATGGAAGTCTAATGCTCAGTTTCACAAACGATGATTAAGGTTAATCAATGATTAAAAATATTAGAATGTTAAACATCTTTGATTAGGTATATGCGCATTTGTTTCCCATTCTAATATTTTTAAATTAATTATTATTTACTTTAATCATCGTTTGTCTTTGTGAAACCGGCCATAAATACTTTTAGGTAACGGTTTGCGTGAAACAGCCTATGTATACAGGGTTCTGCAACAGCGCGTTGGTCTTTTCTAGCCCATACCTGGTAAAAAAAACCTATGCAAATGTCGACTATAGATGGTTGCGCATGTACAGAAATTATTTTTGAATTTAAAGGGTGCCCCACGGTGTCCCATCTTAATGGGGACTATACACAGCGGATTTTTTAAATGGAACCCCCTGTATATTATTATCTGATTCGATGTCATTTTTTAACCTCTGCATGGAAACCTATTCACTACTTGACTTTTTGTCAAGTGTGCCAAATTATTAATTTTTTTCCGAATAATTCTATATAAGCCACTCCCACTTTGATAAATCGTAGCGGCCTTGATTTGAAAGTTAAGAAATACATTTGATCAATAATGTGAATTGTAGAACAATAAACAAATAATAATAATAATAATAATAATAATAATAATAATAATAATATGGTCTTTATTTCATCTTTGTGTATACACATTAATCAAAGCCTTGATTTTAGGGCGAAGTTCCGCCTAAGGCTGTTCTACCACTTAACCCTAGATTCGGCCAGTTTTACAATGAACTAGTAAAGCTTCATAAGGGCCAATTTATATACAAATTAATATAACATACGACGGAAATTAAGGAACAACGGCGGCACAACCAACGTAACTTAATTGTAACTTTCAGTAGATGTGAGGTTCAACGCATGATGGTAACAACTATAGACCTATATCTGTCAATCCGGTGCTGTCAAAAGTCTTCGAGTATGCTATGCTCGATAGATTAACCGGTCATTTACATAAAAATAATATCATAACAAACCGACAACACGGATTTCGTACCGGATATTCTACTATGTCCGCCATAAACTCATTTCTCAGCGACGTAATTTCTCACCTTGAAAATAAGCGACATGTAATAGGAATTTTTTGTGACCTAACAAAGGCTTTTGACTGTGTCAACCATAAAGTCTTGATTGAAAAATTAGAGTTTTATGGAATCCGGGGTGTAGTCTCGGAATGGTTCCTATCCTACTTATGGAAGATCTCAGTATGTAGAAATAAAGTGCAAATCCAATTCCAAGATCACAAAGTTCTCATCGTGCCTTTTGCCGATGAACATTGGCGTACCACAGGGCTCGATTTTAGGGCCAATCCTGTTTCTTTTATTTATCAATGATATTGTTTTCATTTTGAACTCTGTAATCATGTATGCGGATGACACTACTGCAATAGTTTCCGGTAAAACTATTCTTGACCTACAACAACGGGCAAGTGGAATTCTATCGACGCTTCAAGGGTGGTTTAATTTTAACAAACTTCATTTAAACAATAGCAAAACGTACTGCATTTTATTTTCTTCTATTTCTCCCACCACCGATGTATCCCTTCTTGCTAATGTTCCAGTGGGAAATACCTGGGAATGTGCTTGGATACAAAATTAAACTGGAAGTGCCACTGCTTATGCTTAATGTTTGTTGCTTTCAAATCCGTAGTATCAGACAGTTGATTGGTGTATATTTCACATTGTCCTTCTATTATGCGGAGGTTCAGTCAAGGTTATGTTACGGTGTTCTTTTCTGGGGATCATCTACACTGGCCGCTAAAGTTTTTATTGTACAAAAACGTATAATACGATGTTTATTGGGCATAAAGCAGCGGGAGTCTTGCCGACCATATTTCATGAAATATAACATCCTCACCCTTCCATCGCTATATATATTGGAAGTATTAACTCATATCTACAAAAATAAACACCAACTTAGGCGCAACAATGAATTTCACTCGTATAACACCCGAAATAAAGGAGACCTTAGTATACCCATGGCAAGGTTAAAAATCGCAAAACAATCTCCAAACTCTGTAGGAATCAAACTATTCAACCACCTCCCAACCTCAATTAAAAACCAGCATACGCTCAAAGATTTTAAAAGATCAATAAAAAATATTCTAAGCGAAAATGCTTTTTACACTGTCGACGAGTTTTTAGAAGTAAGTAAGTGCTCAAGGTTTTAAGTAGTGTTATGTTATCTTTATGTTAAATTATGTCAATGTTTTCTTTCGCTTTTTCTTTCTTTTTTCTTCATTTTGTGACACCTAATACAATATTATATTGTCAACAGGAAACAATAAAAGTTATGAGTTATGAGTTATGGTGTTCAAGGAGGAAACTTTTAAATTTAGTTTTACTGTAGGTATAATAATAATAATAATAATCTCATAAGATAATTTATTAAAAATGTGTACGGCAACATGGGCGAATGAAATAATGTTAAGTGTTACAATTAATAATTTCTGATCTTATATTTTCTAAACCACAATATGCTAAATACATAAACGTACCTCAAAATCAAAAGACGTATCTATTTCAATACTACCTGGAATACCTTCTGTAGCCGTGCTTGGGATTTTTGGGTAACGTCCTCCCAAAGACGTGGGGCATCTTTGAATGAAAATCTATAACTGAATTTGCTCGTACTTAAATTTTCATGCAGTCGGACAAACTCTTAACAAATTCTTCTTTCTGGGCGTCAGTCACTGCCCTATTTCTTATTGTAGTATCTATAATGCAAAAACAAATTCAAACAAAACAAAATACAAAACAGCTGTGTAGGTACATATTATCGGTACAAATGCCACAACTGACAAATGACAGTTCAATTCTTGTCTGTGATTGGTCTGTTCATAAAGTTTGTCCACGATTGGGGAATCTTATCCCTATCGTATACGAACATGACGTCATGGCAGCCGATCACATCACATGCACATCACGGAGCATTTCGACTAACTTCGGGAAACGATGCCCTCAGATGTCGAATTCGGCATGTCATTATGTCAAGTTGAACACATCCACTTTGGTCATATGACCAAGACGATTACTTCTTTAAAAGTTGAAATTGACATAGCCATATGCCGAACTGTATAACTATTTTCTGGAATTGCGGTTAGTAAGATCGCGATATGGTCAAATGTTTCGGACAAGGGCCAAATTCGCTATCTGTCTCTGTCATATACAATACTTTTCGCATATTAAAGAAACCCTCGAAAAAACCTTCTTTTTTGAATATTTACAGTATTGTCTTTTTTAAAATGTTGTTAGAAATATGTAAACGTTTTCTAGATAATGATTTCACCAATTAAATGAATTTGGTTGGATGACACGAATGCAAAGTCCCAAAATTATAATAATTAACATTAGCATCGCCTTTATTATTTCCCTACTGGATTACACAACAGTTGAGCTACGTATTTCGGATATAATTCATTGTCGACGAATCTAAAATTATTTTCGTCTGAACAGACAATCAAATTATATATATGAATAGAATAGACCAATTTACAGTGAACTGTGCACGCGATATTTACAGGACTTCATCTGCGTAAGTTTTTCCACTCCATAACATCGTTATCATTTCGGAATTATAATCTTTGTCTGGGCGTTAATCATTTCATTGTATGCGGGATAATAGAAAAGATTCTACAATACGACCTTGTGTGTTATTCAAGTGGTATTGCTTTTGGCAGCGAAAAATATGAGATTCTTTTGATTGAATTTTGAAGTGCTCATTCTAGATGATGAATTTCTAAAAGTCACAAAAACGTTGATCTCGATTTCGATCGCCTCAATTTGCCATAATTTGGAAGTTGGAACTAATGGTGGATTTCATAGGGGAATGGCGCATAAGGGTGGTACCAGTAGCTTCCTCTACGATACAAATTGACGTGATTTCCATTAATTGTTCTGAAACTGATGTAATACATAAAGTATAAAACTACCGGGAAGATGCGAAGACCTGGCTCACTCATTATCAATACTTAATTGTTTCCAAGGGGTAATAATGTAGGTATTCTACAACTTTTTTGCAAGGCGTTTGGAAGGAGGTCCAAGTTCACATTAATCAATTTAAACTTGTTGAGATAAACACTATCTGTAGATTTTGTATAAATACGCCCGAAGTGTCATTACGATTTTTACTTTGTCATCAGCGCAATGAGGGCTGTACTATTTTTGTTACTGATCGGCGGGTGCCTAACAGAAAACCATGCAGGTAAGTGCTGTTCGCTTTAAATTTCATAATTACGAAATTCTTAGATAATTGGAAGTCGGAGTTCCGGCGTGACTTAGAGGCGTCCATTGACCCAAATAATCGTCAGGCCACGTCTCTGGGAGGTTTGGCGCCTCCAGATATAGTGCAGAGATGGCTTGCATCTCCAAAAGAGGAAACCGATGAATCGCCACTTTGCGAGGTGTGTGATGCAATGGTTGACGTTGCGATAACCGCCCGGAAGCGTAGGGCTGGAGAAGAACTTATTTCAGAAATATTTGTCAAAATGTGTAAGTGGTTCGAATTGGAGAAGGAATCCTTCTGTGAAAGTTACGTGAAGAATAACATCGACATATGGTTACACATCTTTGATAACAAACCCGCGTTAAGGTCAAGGACTTTCTGTGTATACGCTCTCCATAAACACCGCTGTCGAGATCCTGAACGTATGGACTGGACCATTGAATTACCTCCCAAGCCAGTTTCAAAGAACGTAGCCCATTCCCCAGCGGTAAGTCCATTGCTGGCACCATAGTAAAGTAGTAAAGTGTCAAATTGTAGAGCACCACAGAAGCGCCACTTAAGATTCTCCACCTCACCGACATTCATTACGACCCAGATTATGAAATCGGCTCAAACGCAAACTGTAATGATATGCTGTGCTGCCAAAAAGGCACGAAACCCAATACAAGTGCTGATGAAGCGGGCTACTGGGGCAGCTATCCGTGCGACACCCCTTGGCATGCGGTCGAAGATGTATTACACCAAGTTATAGAAAAACACGTACGTATAAACGAAAAAGAAAATTATTCCCCTAATATCAATCATTTTAGACCACTTATGACGCCATTTACTTCACTGGCGATATCATCAAACATAGCGAGTGGCTGACGGGAATAAAGACCAATACCGAAGAAATAATTAAAGTGTTTGACGAATTCAAAGCGGTCTTCAAGGGTATACCTCTATTCCCCACTTTAGGCAACCACGAACCATTTCCGTCACATCAGTACGGATCTCACTTTATGAGATTTCTTTATCTTACGTCGCTGTTTTAGATTTTCTTCCGATAGCATCGGTGCTAGTAGCAATTTATCAACACAATGGATATACGACCTAATGGGAAAATCATGGGAGACCTGGCTACCAGAAGACGCCCTACAAACGGTTTTTAAAGGAGGGTATTACACAGTGTTAGTAAAACCTGGGTTGAGATTGATCGCTTTAAACAACAACGTGGCTTACACGTACAATAACTGGTTGTACTTCGATGACAACGATCCTTTGGGGCAACTGAAGTGGTTGGTCGAGGTTTTAACGGAATCCGAAGCAAAGGGCGAGAAAGTGCATATTATTTCTCATGTACCGTCAAACGACATGTTCTGTTTCTATAACTGGGGCAAGGAGTACACCAGAATCGTTGAGAGGTAATCATCCCAGCTGCAATGACAACAACTAACGATAACTTTAGGTTCGCCCATGTAATAGTGGGTCAGTTTAATGGACATTCTCACGATGATGATTTCTTTGTCTACTTCAACTCCCAAAACCATAGCGAAGTGGTTAATGTTGCATACGTTGGAGGAAGCGCTACAACTTACACGAACTCAAACCCCAATTATAAAATATTCGACATCGATTCTAACACTTATGTAAGTTCTTGCACTTTATCATCAACGTAGCTAAGCAGAGCGATTTCAGAACGTTCTCAATTATGAAACTTGGATATACAACTTAACGGAAGCGAATCTCACCCCTAAAAATCCACCGAGGTGGTACAAGCTGTACGACATCAAATCTGCGTATGGCCTCCCCAGTTTAAATCCGGCCGATTTCACTGACCTAATGGAACGTATGGCTAAGGATCCCGAACTTCTTCAAAAGTTCCATAGGTAACTAAATGGTAATGTGACGTGAGTGTAATAAAAAAATTATCGCAGGTACAAGAAACGAGAAGCCGACCAGATAATGGCGAAGGGTTGCAATCGAAAATGCGAGCTAGAGACTATGTGTTACATGGTGACCACTTGGTTTGGTGAAGATGACCACTGCAAACACTACACTGAGATATATAACAGTAACCTACCGGAAAATTAGTTTGTTGTTTATACAAAAAATTATTTATTATGTAACTTGTTAGTTTTACAATGAAATGAAGTAAATGGTATACAATACCGACCTAAGCAGCGTTTTAATTTTACTGCGCACATAACACGCCAACCGACTATATTTAAACATTTAAATAAATAAATAAATATATAAATAAATGGCGTAAGTCCATAAAGGTCCATAAAGACTATTTTGACACGTGATATCACTCAAAATATGTAAAGTAGAGATGAATATCATACCAAATGCTACGTCGGCTAAAATATTTTCTAAAACAGATAATAATCTTTGCAAATTATGCAAATGCAAAGGGACAAGTGAAAAGTTTCAAAGTTACTTCATGAAATATGCCCTTGGTATATTAATTATGTGCTGCACTTACCTTGGTCGTAATTTGGGCTCGATTAAACACAAAGCTAATCATGTACACAAAACACAGGAACTTTTTATTCGAAATAAATCAATCAATAAATCTGATAGTGAAACAGGCACTCAGGGCCGGATGACAAATACCACACACGTGTTCGATTGGAACAAGTTAAATTTTAAAGAAAATTATAATTACCTTAAAGTTAGTTATCCTTAATATCTGGTTACTTGTGATGCTCTTTAAACAGACCACTACACAAACAGCAGGTGATGTTGCTTCGAAACTTTACTTCTTTACTTTTCATTTATTCTTGATTTAAGCTTTGATGTAATTTTAGACGTAATAGTCGCCAAACACTAAAAACGCCCACCAAACCAAAAATCTTCCTTTAACAGCCGCATGACGTAGTTTAGGTACACATTTCTCCCTTGAATTGAACCAGACCAAGAATTACAAAAACCCGTTGCCAGCAAAACAAAAAGTCAGGTACTAACAAAATGTTTAATTGAAAATTTTGAGTATAAAATTTTCCCAGAGCACGTCCAGCATCCGCTATTACGTAAAATCTCGATAAAGATTATATTTCATTCTGCAGATGAGCTTGATCTGTTGAATTATATTCTCGGCTATCGCCAAGAAGACTTAATTCGGATTCCCTTTAATGGAATTCCCGGAAAAAAAGTAAAACGAAATAAATTCTCTAATAGTTATCTTACTTCTCAGGAGATTCTTTAAAAATTAAGGAAATACACTCACAATATAAGTGTTCTACGTAAAATGTTTATTAACTCTTGAAAAAGTTATTTATTTTATTTATCTAAGAACCTTTTCAGCGAGATACTCACGATTACTCTAGGTCACTCTAGGTTATTAAAACGCACAGTTTTTGTGTATTACGCATTCTTATCGCTAATAAATTACCTAAACCTTTTAGCAAAAGTAAACAAATCGCCCATACATACAAATTGATCTGTCACTTAATAGATTACCCTACATTTAACAATTCTAGGAAATAAACTTATAAGGAAAAACAATCCGCTTGGATACAATGACTCGTCATTAATTCAGGCGTCTGGGCCAAACCTCAACGTCCACATTGGCATTGTATACATGTAGTATTCCAGATAAAGGAAATTTACTGGAACGTTCCCTCTAATAAAACTATACATTACTATGGAATCATTTATTTTTAACTTTATTATTGTAATAATGACAATCACTATTTAAATTACCGGAAACATTTTGGTTATAATTAAAGATGCGTAAACAAATTAATGACAATTTTTTGTTTAATTTGTATGTATAGATCGCTTGAGTGATTTAGCAAAGGACCATAAATTTGAAAACACTTACAACGTCTAAAAAAAGTTACTAATAATATAAATAGGTATATTTAGATGGGTAGGTAATAATGATGTGTAATTGTCACGTTTTATTATTGAATTTGTTTATACAGGCCGTGGAAAGTTTCATAGTATGTCAAGAGCATACCAAAGATGTACGTCAACGTAATTAATTAAGAGATCAACGCAACATTTTCTTGACAGTACTTCATTAGGACATTTAAAACAAAGATATATATTTCCATAATTCCATAAATAAAGTACCAGACTAAGTGGAAAACCAATTATTTTTTTATTTTTAAAGTTCTTTAATGCGCTTTCGAATGTTCTTAAATGATCGACAACTAGCGAGAAAAGCTGATTCGATAGCTCGCACAAGGAGCCTTGAAAAATAATCATTTGGTACGGCATTTAAATTAACCCTAAACGTTTGTTAATCATTTTAATTAATTGTAAGTTATTTTTGACTATGATTTAAGTATGTAAGTGTAACCTTAGTGTAAATGTGTCAATGTTACAATATAGCAGTGTTGAAATAAGACATTAAGAAAGCATCGTGTTACCGATGCACATCAGTTTATCGAATTTTAACCCTCCACTCCATAAACACCAATTGGCTAAATGGATCTTATAATCACTTTAACCGTGACAATAATAACAAGTTATTTCGAAGTACCTATTTAACATTTGGCTAAAGTAATGAACAAACAGTGCTATCCATATCGTTTATTAGGTGCATGATGCATGCAAATAATAACTATTTCTTATATAAGACGATAAAGGGACATTTTAACCATTGAGTGATAGATGTTTCACGAGATGGTTAGCTTCCCTTTGTCGCCGTGTATAATACAAAACTTTATTTTACAGCAGAAGCCTTATGAATCATTGTAAAGCTTCTGACAATTCGGAATTTAATTTAGTCCTCAAAAATAGCAAGTTTAGGTTCTGCCGCCATTTCCATAGAAACAACATTGTCATATGTTTTGAACGTCATTTTATATCGTGCTTCGCGTCGCATTTGAAATAAGAATAACAGATGTCATTAGAATGCACAATAATTTGTTTCACTTTAACTATCCTTAGGGTTAAAAAGTGGCTTAGCCTACTCATTTAAACCTATTAAACTGTCAATTTAACATACGCTATAAAATAAAATGATTTCAAATGTAAGATCATTCTGCAGCATTGAGCATCGTTTGAACTTCGCGCGATTTTTTTCAAAATCGATTCAGCATAAAGAGAAATCAAACCCGCCGTGAGTTTCTTGAGTACCAATGTTGATTTTGATTTCTATTTCCATTTTTGTGTGATGTACGAAGTCTCACTTAATTCAGAAATACTTTTATTGATGTGTAGATGGAATTCATCCTATAGCCTTTACACTCGCCTTTACACCATTAATATAGAAAAGGCATGTTAATAGTCCATGATAGAAGAACTTTACTGAATGGAGATGGAGCGTGATCTTGCTCTTTACGGTACCAATGTAGCCCGATGCTACGAAATACTGATATTATAGTACTGGAAGTGTAACGAATTAATGATATTAATTGTAGCATTTTTGTTTCAGTTCGTTGCCCACTCGAACGTACAGCAACTACTGGCTTCCATTTGGTACGAGGGACTTCCAGGTTTTCGACGAAAAAACATGGTTCTGCAAGCGCTGGAGATAGTGAGGATCGGAATACTCTTCCCGTTTTTCTCGGCCGCCTACGTTCTCGCCCCTCATTCGGTCATCGGAAAGACCATGCGAAAACCGTTCATAAAATTCATTTGCAATTCGGCGTCATACTTCGCTTTCCTATGTAAGTAGATACGGCAAATTAAATGTACTGCCTACTACACGTTATGCGGCATACGAATCTTTTTGCATCGAAAAGACCTCTTGGGAAGTTTTTACAGACATGGGTCCAATTTCAAATTCTATAAATGATATTGACAGTCATTGCAGGAGAATTAGCAATTTAGTAACCATTGATAGATAATAATAATTGGGGGAGAAATTATGAACCGCGATTTGTTAAATGGGTGCTAAGTCCGCAGCCTTTGCCCTTATAGAATAATTGTACTTTATGTAAAAATTATACACAATTTCACCGACAGAAAAATGAAATTCGTAACTTCTGTAAAAGCACAAATCGTCGTTGCAATTTATCATCTTGGCGACTAGATCGTAATTGATAATAGTTCGTAGTGCGAAGTGCTATTTATTAAGAAGTAGACATAGATATTTACGTATATGGTTTTTCCCAATGACTATTTTAAACGAAAAGTCTTTTCTGAAAACTTTTTAAAACAACAGTGCGCGATATATTCAACCGAAGAGAAAGTTCATATTGTCAATGGGTGTAGTTCCGGCAACAGTTTAAGAAGTTAGTTTGGTTGCATAAAATTAGGCGTCTTTCGGAAGGGTTTTGTCATTTAAAAGTAGACATAGGGAAAAACAATACACGTAAATCCCTATGTCTACTTGTTAATCAATACCAATTATAATAATCAGTGGTAAATCAAGTTACACTAACTAGCACGACGCGACGCGAGTAACTTGAGCCACTTACTTTTGGTACGTTGGCCGTACCTATTAATTACTATATTTTGAGCTGCAGCATGGCTATAATTATGCACTAATTATTTAACAAACAGTTAATAAAAGGAGATGCAATTAGCTAAAGTTGGAGAAGCTGTATACTCATACCTAAGCTAAAAATACCTCAAAATAATTATAAGAGTGTACAAGTACATACTCTGAAAAGACCCACTTGTTATTCTCTTTCACACAAGCGATCCCTCTCCGAAATAATATCCTGGCGAGGGCCTTGTATACATTTATAGGGCAGTAAAACTGCGAAAAGTCGACGACATGTTTTTAACTTAAAAGTTTCGCATCAAATTACTTCGAAACTTTGAATCGTTTGCCTTTAACTCAAATAAAAAGAATTTTTGAAGTTTGGTATTCAAAACAATCAATGGAATTCTAAACGGTTTCGCTCAAATCAACTGTATACAAACTTTAGTTGTTTCCATTTAAACATTCCTTTAAGAATGCCAGCGTATGTGGTTCGATCGATTAAAAATTCTTTGTTTTCCTTTATTGTGGTAGACAAATAGTAAAATTAGTTTAAGACGAACTACCTGGCATGTAGCCGGAGGTTCTAATATTTGACTTCTTTTCAAATTCCGTAAAAAACGGGTGGAAGAAAGACGAAATGTAAGACATACAGGGTGTTCATTTGAAAACTTTCCACCACGGATTTATCGAAAACCACTGACTAAAGGAAAACACGCCTAGACACGTCAAAAAAGCTTTTTAACCAAAAACTTCTTCCCCTTTCATCCGCTCCCCCAGGGTCATTGCCTTAAAGTTTAAAATAACAAGTGGTATCGAGTAAAAGCTTGCTTGAAAAGTCTTTCGAAGTCCTTTATTTTGACGTTTGATTTTTTTTAATCGGTCGATTCGTTTTCGAAAAAATTAGAATAGTTTCCACGCTTTCGGCTAGTGTGTAAACCATTTTGGAAGTAAAATCTGAATCAATAAATTACTTTTCACTATCCCAAGATTGTCACAAAGGTAAGTGACAGTAAATTAAATTGTTTCTTGCCCATAGCAACAAATAAGGAATATTTTCGTTTGTTTTTGTTTTCTATCTGAACAAACTAAAGATTTAATTTAAAAAATAAAGATTTTTCTAATTTGCTCGAAAACGAATTTAAAAAATCACACGTCCAAATAAAGGACTTCGAACCTTCCAAACAAGCTATTACTCGATACCACTTGTCATTTAAAATTTTTAAGGGAATGACCAGGGAGGGGGGGGGGGCAGAAGGTGAAAGAGAGTAAAGCAGTTTTTGGTTATAAAGTTGACAAATCTTTCGATATATCTTGGCGTTTTTTCCTTTTATCAGTGGTTTTCAATAGATCCGTGGTGGGAAATGTTCAAATGAACACCCTGTATATTCGAACAAAAAGGTTTCATTTTTCGATTTAAAAAAATCCAGAACTAAAGCGCTTGCCACTTTTAAGGGTTGAACTAAAGATAACCTAATACCAGAATAGGAACTAAATTCATCTTTTCAGAATTACACTCTTTGTTTACGATGTAATTAATTAGATGGGTGTAATCAATGTTTGTGGAGGCTAAATGCTGCAATAGGACAGATACAACTTTTGTTCATAATTAAAATTCATTTTTTTTCGTGCGATATGATAAAATTTTCCAAATGGGGTTATTTAAAACGGTCCCTCGGCATTCCTTTTGCGCAACCCTAGATTCCATATCTCCAGGTATTTTTTCAATGCACACAGCTCTCTAGATATAAACGTTGTGCTATTAAGACGAACGGTTTGTTACAAAATCAATTGGTAATCGCTCATCTGCGAAAAAATCCCGGTATCAAAACCGTAGCGAAATGGTATGTAAATTTCAGACAATTTGTATATTCCATTTACAGGGCTTCAGTCGTATTTATCTAAATAATATATGTATCATTGCCTGCTTATGCATAAAATAATTTCATTTTCATTCATATTCTATTGCGTATTATGCTTCGCACACTTTCCCATGCAAATACTTTAGATGTTTTGCATTTTATACAATGCACATCAAACAAAAATTTGCATTGATATTTTTGGTCCTCTTTTTCGAGTCAAGGTGGGCATATTTTTGTAATACTCGTTTTACAAAGGAAATATTGCCGGATAAAGAATTTCCTGATTCAGTTTATTCACTCATTTACCAATTCATTGAAGTGATTTCTCGCCACGTTATATACCTACCGCGATGGAGATTGGAGTATTATGAGCCATTATCAGCATTTGAAGTCACCAATTAGCCACCGAACCAAATTCTACTGGTAATATTCAAGGGAGAAAAAAATACCACGCACCGCCTTCATCACCTTCAACGAACTCCGGCAAGAGCTACGGAAATCCGAGGAAGTCGTTCGTCCCAAACCCAACACCACAGCTCAAACTCAGGACCCCTCTAAGAAACCAGGTGCGCGTGCTGCAAACAGATGGGACACACAAAAGAGGAATGTAGAAAGAAAAAAAGGACAGACGAGACAGTACAGTTGAGACCACTGACTCATGATACCGACAACGTCACGACACCCAGACACCACCTCGGGTAAGGGTAGGGGGAGGGAGTCCGAATGCTTTGGGTACACAATTCTGCTGGGTGATATTATGTGTAAAAAGTTTAATATATTGCAATTAGGGAGATGTATTAAGGTGATCACCCAGGGCCTTATACTCTAAGTTGATGAACGTTGTTGAATCCATAGGATATGACAAGGGGGTTAGATTTGGTATATGTAGGTTATATATACATACGACGAAGTTCATGTTCCTTTAAATCTCAATATTTGTTTCCAACCGTTTAGTGAGATCTTGAGTTATATTTATCGACCAGATTGATTGGTTACACCCTATTAACAGAAAGAGCGATTGTAGCCAAATTTACTCAGTCAAAGAATTCAAATCCTTTTCGTGCGGCCACAAAAATTTGTTCCTTTACATATTGTACTTATATTAAATCCATTAACAACGGTTATTTTCTGTTTCAGTTATGTTAATACTGGCTTCTCAGAGAATCGAAACGTTATTCTTTGACGAAGAACCCGAAGACGTTCCTACGAAGCGTGGTGCTAAACCCTCTTTAGTCGAATGGATTATCCTGGCGTGGGTGTGCGGTAAGTCAATGTTTCTTACCTACGAATTATTTATTAAATACGTAATTCAATTCAATTGCTATTACAGGGCTAATTTGGAGCGAAATAAAGCAGCTTTGGGACGTGGGACTGGAAGAGTACGCCAGAGACATGTGGAATGTTATAGACTTTATCACGAACTCTTTGTATGTAGCCACCGTAGCGTTAAGGGTCGTCTCTTATTATCAGGTGAGTGGCTTTGAATTGTCTCGTGTAGATATGGGAAACAATCAACTCTCTAATTAAGGTAGCGGTTTATTGGTAGATATGACAACAATAAGTCATAGCTTTTTGTAAATGAAGTACGTACCCATCGCATTTACTTGTGAATAGAAGCACTGTATTTGTTTTAAGTTTGTAATTTCTTCATTTTACGTGATGCTCCAAAGTCGTCAGAGGACTGATATCTATAAATAATCATTTTCTGACTGTACGAAAATTAACTACGTCTCATTTTGTGCTACTTTTGTCGTACCATAAACAAAGCTTCAATCTCACGAATATACTCGGTGTTCTCAATGTTGTGCTCAATTTTATGCATTCAGGTTTACTCGTAAACTCGTACTGTAAAATTGAAATTTTAATGCCTTCGATTTTGTGCAAATCGTGTGCGACTCTCGCCCTACTTGAATGAAAAACTAATTAAACCTCTACGGCACTGGCAAAAACTCGCTGTAACAATTAATCTTTATTTTACCCACGGCTAGCTCAGTAATAGAAAATATTTGAACCGGATGTTGGTACATCAGCCTCGATCTCAGCTTACAAAAATTACCTACTTATAATATATTCACTGTTGAATTTCATCATCTGAAGATTTGTGAACTAAATCGCACAAGATCTTTTAAAAGTTCTACTGCGAACTGCTGACGTAGCAATCCATTGTCTCTCCACTGCCCGAGGTTTTACATACTTATTATGATTCAGAAATAAATCATAATGTATAGTTTCTACTAAATTACAGAATAAATATTTATGATGTGCGATAAACAATAAAATTTAATCACGTGCAGCTTGCACCAAGGTGTGTTGAAGGTGGAAGTGAACAAATTTTTCCATTTAAATGCAATTTTTCCGCGGAGACATCGAAGCGATTGTAAACCTGCAGGGTCATTAGTAAAGAAGAACGAGGCGTTCTGATAGATACCTTAAGTACTTTGTTTACATCAACTGTGATATAACTACATTTAATTAACGTATTTTCGTTTCAAAGGTAACAATATAATTAGCCATAATTTAAACTTATGATAAAGCTAATCGGTTACCGAACCTTTTCCATTAGGATATCTAAGGTGTGAACACGATATCTAGGTGATTCCAGTCTCTTCGGAAATGAGAAGTGCATTGCTGTTTTTATTGATTATCGGAGGTTGCCTAACAGAAAACCCTTCCGGTAAGTGCAGATTCGTTGTTTAATTTCCTGGTACCTAACGCAACTTTTAGATAAATGGAAGTCACAATTGCGGCGCGATTTAGAGGGTTATATTAATTCACCCCCTGAAAAACAACAGTCCGAAGTAAGTTTTATCAACAGTTTGACACTACCTCAGGTGGTCCAGAGATGGCTAACATCTCCATTAAATGGGGAGCCTCTTTGCGACGTTTGCGATGTAATGGTGGACATCGCAATAAACGCGCGGAAATTAGAAGCTAGCGAAGACCTTGTTGCTGAAGTATTTGTCAAGATGTGCTTGTGGTTCGGTTTGGAAAGGGCATCTTTCTGTGAAACTTACGTAAAGAACAACATCGATATTTGGTTGTACATTATTGACAACAAACCTTCTATACGGTCGAGAACTTTCTGCGTGTATGCTCTGCATAAACACCACTGCCGGGATCCCGAGCGTATGGATTGGACAATTGAATTGCCTCCTCGATTCACTTCGGATGACGCGGACGATTCTTCAACAGTAATCGCGTTGTAGGCCTTATATGAAGGTAAAGCATTAAATTTTAGAATACTAAAGAAGCCCCCCTCAAGATTCTCCACTTGACCGACGTTCACTACGATCCTGGATATGAAGTCGGCTCAAACGCAAATTGTGACGAAATGCTCTGCTGTCAAAAGGGCACGAAATCTAACAGAAGTGCCGACCAGGCGGGTTACTGGGGCAGCTATCCATGTGATAGCCCTTGGCATACTGTCGAAAACGTTTTAAACGAAGCTATAGAAAGACATGTACAAGTAAACGGACAAAAGAAGTCTCTCTGACATGAATTCTTTTAGACAACCTTTGACGCCATATACTTCACTGGCGACATCATCAAACACAGTGAATGGCTGACTGGAATCAAGACCAATATGGATGATATCCTTAAAGTGTTTGATAAGTTCAAGGAAGTCTTTAAAGGTTTGCCCGTATTCCCCACTTTGGGCAACCACGAACCTCATCCTGCACATCAGTAAGTTTTTTACGGACATGTATATTAACCCGCCGTTTCAGATTTTCTTCAGATGGAATTGATGCGAAGAGTAATTTATCAACGCAGTGGGTGTACGATTTAGTTGGAAAATCGTGGGAGACCTGGTTACCAGAAGAATCCCTACAAACTGTGCGTAAAGGAGGGTATTATACAGTCTTGGTAAAGACTGGCTTGAGATTGATTGCTTTAAATAACAACGTGTGTTACACATACAATAACTGGCTATTCTACGATGACAACGATCCACTAGATCAACTGAAATGGATGGTCAAAGTGTTAACGGAGGCGGAAAAGAAGGGCGAGAAAGTGCATATTATTTCTCATATACCATCAAACGACTTGTTCTGCTTTTTTAATTGGGGGAAAGAGTACACCAGAATCGTGGAGAGGTAACCTCGTTCGTTGCCAGGAGACGAATTTACATTGATTTTAGATTCTCCCATGTAATAGTGGGTCAGTTCCACGGACATACTCACGATGACGACTTCATTGTGTACTTCAGCTCCCAAAACAGCAGTAAAGCGATTAATGTTGCATACGTTGGAGGAAGCGCTACAACTTTTACAAATTTAAATTCTAATTACAAGATATTCCATGTCGATCCTAGCACATATGTGAGTTTCTCGGGTTTTATTTTGAATTACATCCACAATAGTCTTAGGCTACGCTTAATTATGAATCTTGGATATATAATTTAACGGAAGCGAATCTAACCCCAAACAATCCACCGAGATGGTACAAACTGTATGATTTTAAAACCGCATTTAATCTATCCAGTTTAAATCCAAGCGACTTTGCGGATCTCATTGAGCATATGACAAAAGACTCCGGACTTCTTCAAAACTACCACAGGTAAATAGCATACTGTGACACAAGCGAAACTAGTAGCGATACTGCAGGTACAAAAAACGGGAGGCAGACCCAGCAATGGCGGCGGGTTGCAATAGAAAGTGTCAGCTAGACGATATCTGTTATATGACCACTTCTTGGTATGGAGGTGATTACCATTGCCACCACTACACTGCGATGTATAACGATTACCAATCGAAACATTAGTTACAGTTCGACTTTGGTAGTTATGGTTTAGTTTAGAATGTAGTTCGATGCTAGTTCTAAGAAGATGTAGGTGTTAATACATTACGTAAGTTATAGGGTGAAATAAAGTAATTGTTGGTGCTCATATTTTATTGTACGAACATTGTACCCCATCTCCTTAGTTTACCAAAGTTGATTCTCAAGATTTGGGAATCAACGTGGCGCTTTGCTACCTTGGGGTAGCTACTTTGAATATTTCCTATTGTCGCTCCTATTTCAATTCAGAAAACATCAGTTGTTTCACCATTTTTACCATTGCAGTAGGATAAAAAATGATCCTCCTCTTTTTTGACGGCAATCACGCTTTGAAGCATCAAGAATCCGAATTAAACCTCGTACGAGGCTGAATTAGGGAGCTGTTGAATCTCAGAGCAGTGCATATCAGCGTTGGAGACGAAACACTAAGGTGCACAGTAAGGAGAGAATGCCTCCTTTGGGGGATGCTACCATCACTTCTGTGGAACTTAATTGTAAACAGCCTCCTCTGTCGCTTCAATGACAGTGGTTACTATACACTGGGGTATGCAGACGATATATCCATACCAATAACCGGACAATTTGGGACTACTCTATACAGACTGAAGCAACCAGCTCTTAGAATAACCGAAGAATGGTGTAGGGAATACTCCTTGGCCACCAATCCGACAAAAAAACGGAGTTAATTTTCGTTACAAAAAAAGAAAGGTAGAGGGTCTTCGAACCCCCTGTTTTTCCAAGAACACCTCCAATTTTTAGAGTCTAATATCACAGTGGACAAAAAACTGGAGCAAACACATCCAACTCAAAGCCGAAAAAGCAAATAGGGCTTTCTAACAACGTCTCCGCGCAAATGGGAGACTTTGGGGCGCAATCCGGCCCGTGGGCGGGATGCGAACAACTGCCACAGCCGTTACAGGGGCTCTTCTGGGTCTGCTTCCACTAAATCTCCACGTACAAGGGCAGGCCGCTCTGGTACCCTGGGTTGTTGAATACCAGGCGATCGGACTCAATCACTCCTCAATTCATATTAGGGAAAAACTAGCACATCTTTCTTGATGAGGATACAGCTTCCCAACCAGACATATATTCATCTTCACGGATGGATTTAAAACAATGGAAAGAACAGGTACTGGTATGACTCCAAAGAACTGAACTTACATACCACCCAACCACTAGGCTTACTTCCTGCTGTATTCCAATCATAGTTGGTAAGACTAACACTTAATGCAAGAAAAGTTCTTATGGATAACGTGAAGAACAAAACTATCAGAACCTGCAGGGCTACCCTTCAGGGACTTGGTCACTGTAAAATTACCTCTAGGTTGGTTTCCGAATGTCACCAAGCCCTGGAGCAAGTAGCTCAGCTCGCATGGGTCAAAGGTAATCAAAAGCCGATGGGTGAGCCCGAAAATTTTTTTTATGGGCCAGAGCCAGCTCTTGCACTTACGTTGCAACTGTAAACAACTTAATAACTCAAGCCACAAGAACCCAGCACAGGGCTGGGCCGGTGGCACATGATGTTAGATTGTCGCCATGCGAGAGAAGCCTTCAGAGGACCATCTCGTTGCCTGGCGCGTTTTTGCACAGCGCATCAAAAAAGAAACAGGTTATTGGTGGGCACTGCAAATTAAACAAACACATGCGCCATCTTGTGGAGAATGAGACGGCACACCACATACTTTGTGAATATCCCACTCTGTTCCAACTGAGACGATCCATGCTGGGGGCCGGACATGGCTACGATTAGAGCCGCCTGCCTTTCCAGCATCCTCTAGATTCATCTCACGCGTGGGATGGTTTGAGTGACGTTGAGGAGTCGAAAGATTCTAGCCAGGGAGGTAGTACACAGGGCTCCAATTTGGGCATAACATTTGAAACTGTGAGTCAACTTCCATTACAACCGGAAGTCCTATAATAGTGAAAACATTTTAGCACAAACGGGCTCATGTAACCCTTTCAGAAACCTATTCGCGCTCGATTCCCATGCCATAATCGACTCACCTCATCATTGGACACTCTGTACGTCCATTAGAAGGAAACGACAGTGACCAGTAGTATTTTTTATTCAAAATAAATGTACACGCCTCTGGAAGCTAATAACATTTAGCCCACACAAGGAATGGTATTACTAAACTTAAAATTCAACTTCACAATTCATAAGAACAAAATTTACCACTATTTTTGGATTGGGTTTTTTATCATTCATAAAAATATACGAATTAGTCCACGGCATAAACTCCCGTGGGTCGACTTCTTTAGGAATGTTAGAATGACTTTAAACATAAATCTTTTATACAAAATTACCAAACACTTATGGTTATACAATGCAAAAAAAATCAAAATTAGTTACATTTACCGAGGAGACAAAATTCTCTCCAATCGACAATTGATTTTCTCCTTTGGAAGAGTCGCAGCAATTTGGAAAATTGAATGGGGGAACACTTTGGGCAATACAACGGACCTTTTGTATCCCCAGGTAAAATTTGGTTTATTCACTCGAAAATACCAAAAATTCCAATGTTCCGCAGTATGGAAATATCCAAAATTGCTCTTATAACTTAGGAGTTTAAGAGCCAACAAAAAACCACGAATTGTTTGTTTCTGAGATACAAGGTGACAACGAAAAGTTTAACTTTTTGGGATGTTATCGTATCTTGCCCATTCTAGATATTTTTATATAGACTCCAGTAGCGTACTAAAAACAAATTTTTGGACCACCTTTTCTGAGATTTGACCCAAAGTTGGTATTTTGCAACACTCTGTATATCTTAACGTCAATGTTTTGGATACATTTTGCTAATTACGTTGATATATCACAACCATTAGTTTTTTTCTAAATTTTAACCAGGAACCATAATATAAAAACCCTATTTTTTACGGTTTTTAAATAGTACGCCATGGATTCATGGATATTTTGTATTTTTTAATGTATTCATGACAGCTGAAACCAATCAATAAAAATGGCTGACGTATAAGAAACAAGTCATTCCAAAATTGTGAAAAATATCTAATAATCACGGATATAATGTAATATAATTATATATAAAAAATATAGGTTGTGCTACATGAATGTAATCAAGAAAATGAATGCAAATAATTGACTTTAAAATTATATAGGGTGTTACATTTAAAAAATCCCAACATTGGGCGAAATATCAGAAACGGTGGTCCAAAAAATTAACTACGCCACTTGATTTTACGTAAAACTATATCTCAACCAAAATAAGATACACGGTATAACTTCAAGTTCATAAAAGCACAACACTTCTATGGCACAGACGAAATTACACAGTACACAGTGAAAATTAGGGTACCACTGGTATTATATAGGCACTTTTACAACACCAGGGGCAGATATGAAGTTGAAGCACAAAATTTGTGTGTAACAGCAAAAAAAAATAGCACAAAATGAGCATAAAATAAAAGTTGGAGTTCCATTTCGAAGAATTAAACAACCCGAAAGAACAAAACCACAAAAATAGTACAATATGAGCATAAAATTACCAATCAAAGAAATTTATTGTATTGACCATAATGGGATACCTATTTCGATATGGCTACTTCAACTTCACCCTTGAGAGTATATTTGGGAAAACCCTTTAATCATATAGCAGAAACCAACGTCGGTATCAGCAAAAATCGACCCAGAGGGTTCTCCTTGGACAACAAATGGCTTCTTCTTTGCTTAAAGTGCGTTTCCCAATGTTTAAATAGAAATTTGAATACAAAAAAAAAGATGAATTTCTTGCAGGCAGTGAAAATTGAATCTTTTTAGCATTTGAACCTTTCCGCAAACGTAAAAGATGCGCCGTAATTAATAAAACTAAAAAAGAGCCCGTTCACAAATTCCATTTCAGCCGCTGATGTAAAAACGGCAATTTGTACGCCACAAATCGGCCCATTAGTAACGTTCCACTTCGTCCATTATTTATGATCAATTGCGGTTAAGGCGGCGATTTCGTTCTCTTATTAATTAACGGACGATTATTTTACTAATAAGGTTAATCAAGTTAGCTGAGTTTCTGCTATTGAATGACGCGCTTAATTGTTTTACAGGTGCAGAGGAATCCTAAGAGCGAAATGATTAAAAGGGAGGACTGGGACGCGTGGGATCCGATGTTGATATCGGAAGGCCTCTTTTCTGCGGCCAATATTTTTAGGTAGGTACACTTTTTTTTTAAATAAACTTGTTTCATATTCAGCTCGTATCTCAGTTTGTTTTGGCACGTCCGTATCTGCTTTTATTAATGCACGTTATATATTTACAACGATGGCGTGAAATTTTGTTTTGCTTTCATGAATACAGATGAAACCAACTAATGCGGATAATAATTCAACTCATTAAAGCTGTTAGAAATTAGATTGTGTGTGGGGTTAGACAACAGAGAGCCGCCACGAAAACGCAGATAAATTTCGGAATCAACTGAAATTAATATCCAAAGATTAGTACAGCGTACCAACTGCGTGTATATACGTACTTGGAATTAAAAGAATTAATTTGCTTGTTCCCGGTTGCCCTAATTTCTAACAATTAGTCCAGAAAATTCAATATGCCATTTTCGTAATTGTATTTCGCTGTTTAATATTCATAGCACTTCCTTTGGCCAGGAAATAATGAAACATCCCCCAAATTTAATTTTGAGTTTCATTTGATAATCAAACTTGCATGTGCGTTTCAAATATATTGTCAATAAATGTTAATAACCTTACGATTGAATTAAAATACCATTTTATACCGTTTTTGTACGCGCAGTATAGGCGCGAAGTGAGTTGTCAACGATAAACGTAACAATAGAAGAGATCTTCATAAACGCGTCGGCTCTCATTCAGCCGAACTCAAAATTAAAAATTAGAAACAAAAGATTGGTTTATAAGACACGGTGAACTATAAAGTTCCGTTGGTTCCGTTTTCAATCTGATATAAATAGCTAAACACGCGGATAGCTGTAGATTTTAATTAATTACTGCCGTGTGAATGTTATCAGGCGACTTTAATTACAAGTAATATACGCGTAACGACATTACGCAAAAGTACTGCGTTCATTTGTACAGAGGGAATGATCATATAACCGAGGCGATAGCCCGAAGTAATTTCGATGAGAAATACGGGAGAAATTAGTGCTCATGCAACGTATGTGTCGAAGAACATCATGAAATATTCGTAGTGCGGGTATTGCATTGTTAAAAATTACGATAGAATTAAAGACGTAATTACGACGATGTAACAAAAGACAGTCAAAGTGTGTGAGGCACCGATTCTTCAATTTTATAAAGTGGACTTGTGGTACGCTTTCTAAAACATTATTTACAAGCTTTCATTAATATTGCTACTACGAGCACGTCAATTTGGATTGTGGACCTGGCGATGATTTGATTTGGGGGACGAGTTACATTTCCATTCTAATTTTTAATACCCACTGGAGTCGGTCAATATCTTCTGAAAGGGCTACAATAGTTAAGAATGTCGTAGAATAATTTATTATATCTTGAAAATAAAAGTAGAATTTGAAACTCAAAACTACAACTGGAACACCCCGAATTAATCAGAAAATAATAGTACGGTTTAGAAATAAACTGGTTCAAATTTCATATAAAATAAAAAGTCGTAATTCACCCAAATTGAATTAAATCCTCTGCAATGGCAGATAAGTGCTTAGACTCGATCAAAAAGACTTCGAAAATTACACAACATTGGGTTAATTGCCATAAAATAATAATAATCTTAGCCGTCAAAGATTACACATTCTGTGCTAGTAGTACAAAGTAATCTCAACGAAAACGCCGCCATACTTATACAACAAAGTTACTTACCTCACGGATCTCTCTGACAATCTTAAGTTGTTATCTTTACCCTGGTTTAAGAAAAAAGAACAATTAATAATGGTGTTACTTTCACTTTGAGCAAAGGTAATAAGATTACCTTAATAAATAAGCACACGGTAAGTTCAGGCTAAGTAGAGGTGGGTCGGGGTGAATATCGGGGTTTTGGTATACTAGCAAAAATAAATAAAAAGGGAAATGTAGTAATAGTAAACCGGATAGGCGTCTTCAGTCACTTTCAACAGAGAGTAGAGAATTATTTATCAAAAAGTGGGGAAACAAGGCAGACTAAGAGAGCCTTGTTCTGGTCTTGATAAGCTAAAGAAATAAACTACTTGATAGGGATGGGACATTAACAATAATCGACGTCATAGTCAAGAGTGATTTAATGAATGATCGCAAAAATATTGCAAATAGGGCATAGGAAGTACGGCGAATGCGTAAGCGGAAAGAAAAAGAAGGGACAGAATTAGATCTTCCCAACCTCCATCGACAAAACAATGAACTATTGTAATAAAAAATCTATAACGTTTGGAAAAAATTTACTTCAGCAACAGCTTACATCTAAACTACTGGATTACAAGGAAAATACCTAGATCAAGTAAGAGTATAAAATATAACCTACGAACGAAACGATTTTAAATAAGAGTACGGATCGAAGATTACTTAAATGGATCGGGAAGAAAAAACGTAAGAATGGCGTCAAGTTCAACACATAAAAGCAAACATTCTTTTCTCATTCTTTCTTCTCTGTTTTTTCCATGTTAAAGGTTATATTGCACTCTATCTAGAAATTTAAGTAAGTTTAAAGCTATATTAATTGTACATTCGTTTTGTTTTACATTCTAGTACGCCACGAATGAGAGCAGCTAAGAAGGATTGCTTGGAAGCTGAATTTCGCCTAAAGTTTCTACAAACTAAAATGTACCACTTTTTTGAGTCAATAAAGTTAAAGGGGATAACACTTCAAAATCTTGCAATTACACCGTCATTTTAAGCGATGAATACAAGCATTCTTAAAACGTGCAGACCAACAAGTACTTGCAAGGTAAAGGGAAGGAAATGATACAATAAATTAGCATGCGCAGTCCAACTTGCTTTTAAAAATGCACCAATAAAAATTTGGCGAACGCGAATGCATTTGAAAAATACAGTGATCCTTGAATAATTGAAAGCTGTACATGAGAAAATCAAAATGTTACAATCTACAGTACATTAGTGTAGATTATTAAACAATGGCTGTCGATATGAACTGACTCCGGGCAGTACTAACAATTAGAATGGAAATACAACTCGTCGCCTAAATCAAATCGGTTACCATTTAATTATTAATCACCATCCCCACCAGTTCAATAATCAGAGTTAATGTGCACGTAGTAGCAATATAAATGGAAGTAAATAATTTCGTGATATTTCAGAAAGCGTACCACTTTATTTAAAATCGATCGTTTCCTCTGCACAAATGAACGTGCTACTTGCTGGATAATATCACGACACATATTAATCTCGTTGATAATTAAAATTAATCACGCAATTATATTGAGACGCATTCATGACAGAATTAAATTTCACGTCACGATCGTTTAGAAATTAAAATCGAAAAGAATAAATTTCCACGTTACACGATTCAATTGCTTACCGATTTTTATATGCACTGTAACTCGATGGCTGATTATTCACTTTTTATTAATTCCGCTTTCGTAAGAGCAAGCGGAAGAAATGTAACTGCAACTATAAAATTCACGCTTACGAAGTGCACACTTTCTCTTCGGCTATCATTGTGCTCAGCGATTTATATCAAATTGAAAACGGAACCAGCGAAACTTTCTAGTCCGGTGTGCGTTATTAACCAATAAAAAGGCAACATCTTTTATTTCTAATAAAATTTTGATGAGGTTGGTGAGGTTCGCTGCCGTCTAACCAGATCTAACGTTAGTTTTGAATTCCATCACTACCAGAAAGATTCCATAGCTTGCATGTGGTGACTGCAGTGGTATTTTCATTAACAATAGGTACCTATTCATAGAAGAATACAAAAACCATATTTTATAATATCCAAGTTCCCGGTCTAAGTTGCCTCAGTAGTCAGTCCGTATTTCCAAAATAGTTAATGATCATAATATTATCGATAACCAATTCTTTGATTGTTGAAATTTTTCTATTCATCTGGATGATAAATTACTTAACTAAAAACCAATCCAGATTTATTGCAAGTACCTTAATAGTTGTCACCGAAACGTTTACGTACTCGTTTTTAAACAAAATTCTTTGCGATAGTTACACCGAGGTCCTCTTGTTCACTTACATAATTTTTTTCTGATGGCAGCATCAGAAACATCATTATAAACAGTTAAACCGGAGTTTTCATATCCTCAATTTGTATTGAATTCAACATTCAGCTTGTTAAATAATTTCGGCCCAATACACGTGAATAGTGCAAACCATCGCTCCGAGTACATTCAAATAACTGACGTATAGGAATCGCACGAATATAACTCACTTAACTTACAAGCAGCTACCGTCGTATATCTGTCATCTAAATTATTCTTAGGGTGCTTTCTGATGAACTATTGTTGTTAATATAAGCGCGTCGAATATAACCGTTCACTTGGAATTAGTTTCCGCTTTAACAACTACAATTTTCTTCTACCCTCATGCAACATTTCCATATATAGCTTCCACAGTACACGGATTATTACTTTGAAATATTCCATTCTCAAAGTGAATTGGCCCGTAGGTCTCTTTGAAAGACTTTGTGGACTAAATCAAACAGTTTGTATGAGAATATACGACTGGAAAGTTATTCAAAGTGAAATCGCTGTTTTCGTACTAAACTTACATTGGTGGTAATTACAATCTTTCAGAGGTTTTCCAAGTTGGTACTTATAGACTTTTAAGCCGAGTCTAAGTTGTGTATTTCTCGTAATAGCCACTTTTAAATTAGTGTTAAGTCTAAACTGAAGCGCATTAAATTAGCATACTATAGTGTTGAGTTAGTTGTGAGGGACTGAATAGTTTTCTGGTGTAGCAATCAGGGAGATAGAGGATCGTTAACGAGCATTCTGTAGTGCTGGCAGCCAAAGTGCAATTGATGATTTGCTTTATCATTGAATGTTATAGTTAAGTCTTGTGGCAATAAAACTAAACCTGGGAAAGATTTAGAGTTCTATTGCTACAATGTTATTAAACCCTAATAACGTTTATAACGTTTGCATCATAGATAAAGCAGACGATGTGTTACCTGCATTGGACAGTATTTATTGATTTAAAGGTATAATTCAGGTGACGTATGGATTTTGATCTTGATGGGATATTTAAAATTGGCGCTTTATCTGAACCA